AAGAAGTAGAAAGCCAAAATTTTTTTTCCAAAAGTTAATCTCTCACAAAAATTATACCATTTCAATTTTGAGCTGGTTCATAACCGCATCCTCATGAAATAATCGATGAAATCCTGCTAAAGATTTAGAAAATAATTATGACTTTCCAGATAATGGATATTATCTAAAAAGGTAAACATTGATATATGTGATTAAACAAAAAACGAGCGAAAAATTATGGTAAATTCATAAACACAATAACTTTTTCAAACTAAAAAAAATCAGAAATGGGGAGAGAAATTGTCTTAAAATTCCCAGAGTGTCTTGATTTCTGATGTAATAAATAAAATCTGTTTTCCCGTTTGAGCCCGGGGAAACAACCCAATGGGGTAAAAAGGCGCATAAAATTATTGCAAATTTATAGTTTTAAAAACTTGAGAACTTTAATTTGGTAAAAAAACATCACATTGGGGGACTAAAAATGAGTTTGAAAGTTTGAAATTATGAAGTAGTAAAATTTAAAATATTTTCTACTAAGCTGGATTTTGCTAGGTGATTGTTAACCCACGATATCTCTGTTAAATAGAAAAATTGAAGTGTAATGTACAAAATTAGTCAGATTTCAAAGTGGCTCTGTTATCTCAACAAGGGCAAAATAAAATTCCAAGTTAATTGTTGCAACAATCAGACTAATTTTTTGAGATTCCTTGTAGAATTGAAACCAGAAGATGTGCGTTCATGAAAATCACACAACTCTTATAGAATCTTGAGTATATCGATATAGTGAAAATTGTTGCAACAATCAGACTCATTTTTTGAGATTCCTTGTAGAATTGGAACTAGAAGATGTGCGTTCATGAAAATTATACAACTCTTATAGAATTTTGTGTAGATCGATATAATGAAAACCGTTTTCTTGTCACCCATACAGATTTCGAGAAAAAAATTGTTGCAACAATCAGACTCACTTTTTAAAATACCTTGTAGAATTGGAACCATATGATGTGCGTTCATGAAAATTACAAAACTTTTATAGAATTTTGGGTAGATCGATATAATGGAAACTGTTTTCTTGTCACACATACAGATTTTGATACAAAAATTGTTGCAATAATCAGACACACTTTTTAAAACACCTTGTAGAATTGGAAACAGAAGATGTGCGTTCATGAAAATTACATAACTGTTATAGAATCTTGTGTAGATCAATATAGTGAAAACCGTTTTCTTGTCACCCATTCAGATTTCGAGAAAAAAATTGTTGCAACAATCAAACTCACTTTTTAAAACAACTTGTAGAATTGGAAACAGAAGATGTGCGTTCATGAAAATTACACAACTGTTGTAGAATCTTGGGTTGATCAATATAATGAAAACCGTTTTCTTGTCACCCATACAGATTTACAGACTCAAAAAATGAGTTTGATTGTTGCAACAATTTTTTTATCGAAATCTGTATGGGTGACAAGGAAACGGTTTTCACTTTATCGATCTATCCAAGATTCTATAAGAGTTGTGTAATTTTCATGAACGCACATCATATGGTTCCAATTCTACAAGGTGTTTAAAAAGCGAGTCTGATTGTTGCAACATTTTTTTTTATCGAAATCTGTATGGGTGACAAGAAAACAGTTTCCACTATGTCGATCTACTCAAGATTCTATAAGAGTTGTGTAATTTTCATGAACGCACATCTTCTGTTTCCAATTCTACAAGGTGTTTTAAAAAGTGTGTCTGATTATTGCAACAATTTTTGTATCGAAGTCTGTATGTATGACAAGAAAACAGTTTCCATTATATCGATCTACCCAAAATTCTATAAAAGTTTGGTAATTTTCATGAACGCACATCATATGGTTCCAATTCTACAAGGTGTTTTAAAAAGTGAGTCTGATTGTTGCAACAATTTTTTTCTCGAAATCTGTATGGGTGACAAGAAAACGGTTTTCACCATATCGATCTACCCAAGATTCTATAAGAGTTGTGTGATTTTCATGAACGCACATCTTCTGGTTCCAATTCCACAAGGAATCTCAAAAAAAAATGTTTTCGAAATCTGTTCGGTTGACATAAAAATTGTTATCACTACGTCAATCTACCTAAGATTCCATGAGAGTTGTGCGATTTTTATGCACGTACATTATCTGGTTTCAATTCTACAAGGGGTTTTGAAAAGTGAGTCTGAGTGTTGCAACAATTTTTTTTCTCGAAATCTGTATTTTTTATCGAAGTCTGTATAGGTGACAAGTAAACAGTTTCCACTATATCGATCTACCCAAGATTCTATAAGAGTTGTGTGATTTTCTTGAACGCACATCATATGGTTCCAATTCTACAAGGTGTTTTAAAAAGTGAGTCTGATTGTTTCAACATTTTTGTTTTCGAAATCTGTTCGGTTGACATGAAAATTGTTATCACTACGTCAATCTACCTAAGATCCCATGAGAGTTGTGCGATTTTTATGCACGCACATTATCTGGTTTCAATTCTACAAGGGGTTTTAAAAAGTGAGTCTGATTGTTGAAACAATTTTTTTCTCGAAATCTGTATGAGTGACAAGAAAACGGTTTTCACTATATTGATCTGCCCAAGATTCTATAAGAGTTTTGGAATTTTCATGAACGCACATCGTATGGTTCCAATTCTACAAGGTGTTTTAAAAAGTGAGTCTGACTGTTGCAACAATTTTTTTCTCGAAATCTGTATGAGTTACAAGAAAACGGTTTTCACTATATCGATCTACCCAAGATTCTATAAGAGTTGTGTGATTTTCATGAAAGCACATCATATGGTTCCAATTCTACAAGGTGTTTTGAAAAGTGAGTCTGATTGATGCAACAATTTTTCTCTCGAAATCTGTATGGGTGACAAGAAAATGGTTTTCACTATATCGATCTACCCAAGATTCTATAACAGTTTTGTAATTTTCATGAACGCACATCTTCTGGTTCCAATTCTACAAGGTGTTTTAAAAAGTTAGTCTGATCGTTTCAACAATTTTATTCTCGAAATCTGTATGGGTGACAAGAAAACAGTTTTCACTATATCGATCTACCCAAGATTCTATAAGAGTTGTATGATTTTCATGAATACAAGGAATCTCAAAAAATGAGTCTAATTGTTTCAACAATTTCTTTTTCGAAATCTGTTTAGATGACAAGAAAACTGTCATCACTAAGTTAATCTACTCAAGAAACTATGGAAGTTGTGTGATTTTGATGGACGCACATCATCGGATATCATTTCTATATGGGGTTTTGGAGAGTAAGTCTAATATTTCCAATTTTATTTTTCCCTAAATTTGTATTGTTGATGAGAAAACGATTATCAACACGTCAATCTACTCAAGATTCTATAAAAAAGTTGAACACCAAATAGTATTAATAATTCCACGTTCAACCTATAGTGAATAGGTATTTCCAGCCACAGATATTAGTACGGGTGCTAATAATTTCGTATCCCAACCACAGATTTTTATTTTCTTCTACGTCAGCATATGTGGCCAGAAATCTGTGGATAACTTCACGCTAATAAAAATAACTAGGAAATTGAAGAAAGGTAGGAAATGGAGTCTACAATGAGCGTGAATTTCTCAGTCCATCCTCATTTTTCTTAGACAGGAAGAGAATTTACAAAAAAATAATTTTTTAAATCGGCGATGAGGGGAAATAGGCGCCTAAAATTATGGCGTAATCTGATTCAGCAAAAAAACAGCAAGTAAAAAATTGGGAGATGTGTAGGTAAATACTGATAAAATTATCAATCCTATATTTAAATGCATCTCATACTTGAAGAATGTTTCCAAAAAAATATTTTTATTTTTACCATATGTGCTTGAGGTAGATAATTACCCAAATAATCAATTCGATTAGGGCAAAAAAGTCGAAAGTGATAAAACAGGCAAAAAAGTCGAAAGTAATAAAACAGTCTGATATTAAGGCAATTTCAGAAATTTGAAAAAGGTTGTTCTATCATACATCCGTAAATTGAAGAAAAAAATCCAGGAAAAAAGTACAAAGTTAGTATAACATTATGTCCGAAACAAATGTAAAAACCCAAACTGTTTCTGCTAGCATAACAGGTGTCAAATTTTCTTTGGAAGTGAAACATCTGCCCCCATACTGACTATGAAAACCACTGTTTTATTGAAACATCTTATAAGCTTCTCTAATCTCTAGGTCACCCTGTAGGGTAAAATATAATGGATACGTTTGTATCGATAGTTTAGAGGTTAGATCATTGATTAGGAATTTTCTTTGAATTATGAGAAACTGAAATAATAGACCACGATGTACTTATATAGTAAATTTCCATGTATGTATGTGTATGACATGTTCTTACAATTCTAGAAATCGCCCTCCGGAGCGATTTCATTGATTCCAGTGGGGCATTTGCTTTTTCAGCTGCAGGAAAACCCGGAAAAACCTGCAGCACCAATTACCAATTAATTACTTAATTATTTTTTTTTTTCAAAAAATGTCAAAAATTAGTAATTGTCCCAAAAATTGAGTTCAGATTAGGAACACGAAAATACATAAATAATAAAAGTTATTAGTTTAGCACGGCCCCTCTGCCGAATAATTATCCATATTGAGAAGATCGAGAATATGGCCATCACAAAATACAAATCAAATAGGTAATCACGAAATGAAGTTTCTTTGTTATTGATTCTAAGTACCTATTAATGATAGGTACGTAATAACTAGGTAAATAGGTAGATCAATGCCGAATTAAATAGAGAAATCTAAGAAGTCTTTCCATATATCAGTATCTACATCAAATATTTTTCTCCGTGGGAAAGATGAGATGATGCTTGAGAGGTTATGTTTATGTTATTTTCTGTTCAAGATTTATGAGTGAAAATATGTATATACCATCAATTGGATTTAATGTAATGTTTCATTTGCTTGAATGTGAAACTGACAGCTTTCTTACATCCAACAAAAAAGTATATTGATTTTTACTCATAGTCGGCAAATAAATACTAAAGAAGAATATAATCTATGTATGTATCTGCTCACCATCCATCACACCACACTCTTGTATACGATTTGTGTCCATTTTGTAATTTACTCTCTGGCATTTTCAACTTGTAAAATAAATGACATAAATTTGACTATTATAATTATTATGAGACTATCACAGCACTCTTTGCATCACAACACAATCATTTCTGGGCAAAACGCAAAATACAAATCAATATCTCGTTCAACAAGCGATTCGCTATGTTGCCAAATCTAAATAATTTCTTCAAATAATTTGAAAACTCTTCATAATTATACTAAAGAATATTTCATAAAACCTATTTGAGCATTGGTAAATTCCCTGGTCGTACAAACCGAATATGTGAAACATGTTTCTTTGTAGCTCACAAAAAAATGAGTGCCGACGAAATTCATTAAAATAATCCAAAACTGAGATATGGAGATTTCACTATTAGTGAATTTCAAAAATGAAAGCAGTTCTTCAATAAACGGCCTCGTTAATACTTATCTCGCACATGTTTTGATTTCTGAGGATTGCTGTATTTATATGCATGACAGCTGGTTATGGAGAATACTGTCAATGGAACTCATTTACACATGCATAATTAATTTGTGCTTCCGAAATAAGTCCACAAAGCCAAACAGCGTGATCACTGCTCCAAACAACTTTCTATTAATGAATAATTGGTTTTATATAAAAAATTCACTAAAAAGCAACCCCATTTAATTTCTGAGCCTCAATTTCATAAAATTCGACAGCGCTTTATTAATTATTCTGTGGATACATATTTTATATTCCATATTTACTTATGATGAAATGTATACAATTCATTATGTGTAGCATAAAAGACTTCAAACAGTAGAAACTCCACAATGAACATTAAACCGACTCACGTCGGTATAGCTATTTCTCTTCGACGTATCAGGAATGCAAGCTGTGAATCAAACAGCAGCTGTCTCTCTCTCTGATTGAAGCAAGCATTGTTTTGTTTTAGTTTTTCACTTGTACCTAAACTGTATGTGTACCTATATATGCTATATGAAAATATGTATTATTGTGGCAGGTATTGATGCGTCATGTGAGATGATTTGTTGTTTGAAGTCAATATAATTTTTTGTTAATTATTATTTTGAATATGCTGATTTTAGTAACAGTATTGGGTCTGAATTTTAGTTTATTTTCTCATTCGAACGTAAAACAGCCAAAATAGTTGTAACTTTCAATTCAACAGGTAGGTAGGTACCTATTTCAATTCGACTTTTGATTCACCGAAACACCGACTTCGTGCTTGAAATAATTATGCATATATTTCACAGTACGATACATTTTTACCATGGTAAACTGTTTCAGATGCAGCTCATATAAAAATAAAATTAATAAATTTCCTTTGAACAATTGTGACTCCAATAAGTGACATCAACAAAAATCGGCAACACCGTAGAAATATTTGGAGGACGTCTGTCCCTTTGACTCATCACGCCACTATGTTACCCCTCCTCACACTCATATCGACCCATTCATTAGGATAGTTTGAATTAAAAATGTAAACATTTCTATTATTCTCTCCAGTGACGGATTTGAAGCAATAGTAGGATTTTCTATTAATATCCCATAGTTTGCAAAAGAGCTCAGTATATAGGTAGTCTATTGAATAAATAAAATATGATTTTAAATCCCACATAGGCGTATCCAATAAGAGTATTCGGGTGTCAAAACCCTCAATTTCAAATAGAGGTATTATAATATATAAATAGTTATAATTTTCTCGCAATAATAATGTTGTATCCAAACTATAATTTGTTCAATTATTGAAAATTAATAAGTCACTAAGCCAAAGTGCATTTCTGTGAATATGACAGCAATCAGGAAGGATTTTCCTGTTTCTGCTGGACGTAACTGCCAGGCAGAAAATAAAGAAATCCTCTATACTAAAATACTCATGTTTTAAAAATTAACAGAATTGTATTTTTTTGTTGAATTATCTTAGTTTAAACTTGCTTGAAAAAAATGTTTTCATATTTTCTGGTAAGTGTTTCCATGGTAATGCGTACCTTCTGGAAGAAGTTTTGATTAAAAAAGACTGCCGATTTTGAAAAAATATTTTCAAGACATTAATATTTTGATGAAGAATGTTTCATGCAAAATAAAATTTTGAGTATTATCATTGAAAAATACAGTTTTTAAAAATAGAAGAAAATAAGTGTCTTTCAAATTTCGTGACAAATGAAAAATTGTGGGCTAACATTTGTGTGTAGCTTAAATTTTTTATTATAATGTTTTTAAATTGAAAATAATAAATGTATATTTCTTCAAGTGTAAATACTGTAAATAATCATATTTTTAGTAAACCAATTTTTATGTAGGTATTGAGAAATATTGCAGTAATATCTTTTTCTACCAGAATCACTTATTTGCTTTTTCAGAAAAAAATTTTCATAGTTATGTTTCTTTTCTTTCACATCATCGATAACAAGATAATTCTGATGAAACAATGTCACTGGTGATTCTGAAACCCCTATTTTCAGCAAGTGTATATTTATAGGTCAGAAGGATAAGTTTCCACGTCATATCGAGAAAACATTTTCTTAAAAGAAAAAAATCAAAAAAGAAAAAAACTATCTTTTTCAATTTTTCTCGAAACATTTCAGGTTATGTGAAAAAATGGTTCATATAAAAGTGGTAGATTTTCATATTTCCTACAACATTTGAACTCATCTTTTTTCAATAGGTAGTCTATTTCAAGTGGATATCATGAAAAACCATTTCCTATCCCTAAAATTTGCCCTACTTCGTCTCTGAAATCGTCTTTCTTTCATTTTTTACGTAATGCGCACATTATTTTCTTTTCCAGCAACATTGCTGTGTAATTCTCGACTGAAGACTGATCTCTTCGACGCCCCCTCCATAAAACGTTGGAAGGAGTAATATCACAGAATTGGTAACTATTTTGTGGTAATATTTTGACATCGGTCTGTGACGTGATCATTCGATTTATATCAGCGAGATCCTGTTGCAGGAAGAACGAGAAGCATCTGCAAGAATTTCTTCTGTGAAGAAAGTTGCATTAATGCCTGTCGAATATAATTCAATTAGCAGGGAAAGTAGTTGTTCTCCGGAAGGTATTTGACAGAACCTACCTTTTAAAAATGTGTGAAAACGTGAAAATTTCGAATCTCAATTCAAAATATTTATTTTCTTAACCCCACCTTCCAAAATCTATATTGGCGTCAGGTCAAGAGATCTTATAGGCTGACTGGATTGTCTTGATCAATGTTATTTTTCAACTAATCCATACTTGAAGTATTTATCGTAGTTTCTAAAATATTGAGACACTTTTATCGCTAGCCCATCATAGATAAATAAGGGTTTCGAATATTTACACAAACACCAACCCACAATTCACAACTGAAAGATGCAATCTGCTAAAATAGTATGCATTTTCGGTTGCTAACGACAGTTTTGCTTATTGATTTCTCCATTTAGAATTATGTTCTTTTATCAGGATTGCCATCATCACTTTGTAAACAGGTAATTAATACTATGACTCAAGAGTATCATGACGTATACATCTTTACGATATTATGATATACCTATTAATTTCCTTTAATTGCGATTATTCACAACATGTAATGTTCAACGGTCGTAGTTAATGATTTCGGCAGGTCTTTTCAATCGGTAAGAGATTCAGATAAGAACATTAACATTTGATAATAGATATAATAATATAGCGCAGATGTGAAAAGCAGCACCTTAGTTTCCGTAATCGTCTCTGTGTGCACCTCCGCAATTATTTTAACGGAGTTTGGTTCATGGAGTAGCGTGCCATACCGCACTAAAATGTAATACATTTCTCTTCTTGCTCGATTTGTGTGGATCGTTCTAAAAAAAGAGATGTGTCAATTACATTCCCATCTATTTCGCAGAAATTTATATATGTTGCATTTAATTCAGCATTCAAGCAAATGTGGCCTCGAGCCTCGATAATATGAGTGCATAGGGGCAATCAAAATAACCCAACTTTTCTGCACCCACAATTGTTTGGGCAGCCATTCTCACAATTATAAAAAATTGTATTTGACAGTTTCTATAAAGCACGTGGAAGTAAAGTCTGGATTGGTTCCAAACTATTATCCATCAATTTCCAGCCTCAGCCTTGGTAGAACTAGTGTTGATAAGCACAGACAAATGATGGAGGAAGACAAGATATTTGAACTCTTTTATTGTTTGTATTTTTCATGTTCTTGATGATGGCGTCTGCAGAAGAGTTAATGTTTTCAAATACTTGCCAGGAATTGCACTCCAAAAGGTAAAACCTCGTTAATCATTACCTCGCGCAAGTTTCAACTTATGTGGGTTGTCGTTCGTAAAGGGTTGTCAGCTGGTTGACGGAAAAAGTGCAGTTTTCCCCTATTGAAAATTGCAGATGTTGTATCGCAGCCAGTTATCGCATGCAGGAATAAAATATGTTTTGGCATTTTGGATATACAGGTAAGTTTTGTTTGGGTTTGAGCTTCTCCAGGTTTCAAAAAGTAAATGATCCTATCACTTGGACTTAGTGCATTTATATGTTATGTTTAAAATATGTTTTTTTTTTTCGTTAACCAGCTATCGCACCCCTACGAACGACAACCCTCAGAAGTCGAAACTTGTGCGAGCTAAGGACTAACGAGGTCTCACCTTTCAACGTGTGATTCCTAACACGGGTTGGACGGTAGCAAGTGAAAATCGAGCGTTCAGCCTGGTGCTTGAACCATTGACTCACACATCGGCCGATTGACTACCGCCCGGTCGGTAGCCGAGCGTTTCGACATGGTTTAATAATAAATCCACATCTTCTCCGACAATGATAGTTATATTAGTCCTACTGAATTGTTATATTGCAGTTTCAATAATGAAGACATCAGCATCATTTACTATCATCTTGTTTCACAAGAATATTGACAAGTGCGAATTCTTCACCCAATATCGAAATCACGCGCAATTTATTGTGAGCATTGGCGAGAAATTGTTGTTGATTTGTTGGAACCACCATTGATTGATCAAAAACGGTATCAAATGATGGAGATACATCTGTAGTTCGACGACGTTGTTCTGCAGCATAGATATTTTTTGCGTAATCAGTATAACCAATAAATATTACGGTTACGTTATACCCGAAGTATCTACGAACATATGCAAGATATTCATTGAAAATATCATCGAATGTGTCATCTCAATCCCTACAACACAATGTTAACACCTATCCTCCATCGATGATGTAGGTAGCATTTGCACTCTCGACTTCAATGTTCACACCACCGTGTGGTTATGTCGATGGTTCACACATTCAAAACCATAAATGGTTGACTTCTGAGTCTTACGCATTCCCATTGCATCAAAGAGCGGTAATAGGTACTCTATGGTACTGCTCATAGTCGATAGAGATAGTACTTTATCAGCGTGTTTCAATTTAATATCATTAAATGTCTGGCCCATCATTGTATTCGTACAATTCCCAGTTAACGAGCATTTTGACAATCAATTTTATAATCACCGACGACACTGGCAATGGGGATAGAGGATTACTCACTCAGAATCGTATATTCCACATACATAAGTGTATGAGCGACAAAATCTAAAAGTTACTGGATTGTTTTCTGTCGCCTATCTTTGTTTCGTTTATTAAATAGCCCTCCGATGATGCATATTTGAAGTTTCAAAGTTTAAAATCGTGATAACTCGAAATCCGTGCTTCCTAAGAAAAAATGGATTGAAACCATTTTTATATAGAATTGGACGACCTACAAACTTTGTCTGTATCATATTTCTGTCCTTCATTTGCTTTCTACATAACCTAATAAGAGACACTGATTCTAAAAATTTTACCCAAAAGAACCGCCTTTGTAAAAGTTTCAATAGCATTTATTACAAACAACCAGGATAAAAATGAAAGCTTTTCAGATCAAAAATTAACACTACTATGGAACAAGAATTCAATCATTAAAACCTAATCTAGCCTGTGTAATTACAGTAATTGGTCAATTGAATGGAATATTAACAGTAATTCAATTATACACAAACATTGAAAGCAAAGATAAAAAACGAAAAATCAACTATTTCTAGGAGATAAAATTTACACAATCAGTGTTATCTTAAAACATTTCTAAAACAAGATTCACTCTTTAGGGTCGTCTATGCCACCGTTTGTGATAACATATGTAACTTCGCTTTCTTCCAGGTCAGGACTATCGTAGATCTTCGCCACCCGTCTGTTACCCTTAGCTTTTTTCAAAGCGATACGAGTCGTAGAAGAATGCGCTAGGATATTACCGCCAACGGGTTTGGGAAGATCTGGGTCCACTGGAATCAAACTGAAATCGGAAGTTATCTGATTCGTAACGAATACGGCGATATTGTATTCTTCGCTTATCTTCTGAAGACGTGACATCATTTGACCAAGTTTTTGTTGACGGTCAGCCATTTCCCCGCGGCCATTGTAATCGACCCGGAAAAGAGCCATTATGGAATCCACAATCAGGAGTTTGAATATGCCAGCTTCTTCATGAAATTTGGCTGCGACACTGAAAGAGGATTTAAATGTAAGTGTCGAGAAAAAATATACTAGATACAAGGTTATCAAGTTTTGTTAAATGAAATAGATGAAACAGAAAGCCGTTGGGTGGATGAATTTTAATCCAAGTATCTATATCCGTTTCACACGAAACTCGTTCATACAGAGATGCATGTTATGAGTTTTATAATCATATAGCCAATACGTCATGTCTGGCTTCAACATTAGAACTACGTTGGCCTTTCTTTTTATTCTTTTTAGATTTTTGTGCCAATATTACCCCCAAACAATTGAATATGTTAACCTCAAAGTTGTATATGTCCTTGTCCATCTATATTGGTTCTCTTGACGACTGATTTGTATAGGTTCAAGTTTAAACCTTCTTCCTTGATTCTACTGCATTTGGCTCCTTATGTAGTAGCTGATGTTAAGTCCATTAGTTTTCCACATCTCATGTTTATTGCCTACAGGGTATAGGATGTGACTGCATAGGAATTGTGTATGTTCATTACATTGTTGTAGTCGAATACAGTTATAGCCTCTTGTCTAGCTTCTTAGCGCAATAACCCTACTTCTATTAACTTTCCACCAGTATGTGGGATATACGCAAGGATGACTATTCTGGAAAGTCGCCTGATACCGTCAATTGCCCCCAATATCTTTACCGCCCCATTAACGATGGGCGTTGGTCTTTGCCTCCCCAATTGAAATGCTGAATTTCGGTTCATGGCGGGCATGATAACCCTTTATCAAAACGACATTTATGGGAGGAACAGAAAACTCCAACCAATATCAGATTAATTGATCATATGAAAAATAAATTACTGCTATAGTATGCTTTGGTGACCCGCTATTATTTTTTTTAATCAGAAATTATTTTAAAAGAAGAATTTAAATTCTTTCAACTGTGAACTCATGATCATCAATATATCAATATATATATTCACCATTAACTACATATTTGCTTTTGCAATATTATTTTTATGTCAATTTTCTAGCACTTATGGAGTTACAGCCATGCAAGCCCTCCTTATTGTTTCGTTCAATTCGTCAATATCGCTTAAAGTTGAACCGAATACCTTGCCTTCAATGAAGCCCCACAAAGAAAAGTCCAGAATGGTCAGGTCAGGTGAACGTGGTGGCTATTATTAAGACCATTGTTTCCTATCCATCATCCTGGCATAGTCGTAACGAGAAAATCTCTGCAAATATTTCAACGATGTGGCGGGGCTCCGTCATATCGAAAACACTGATTTTTGTCAGAATATCCAAATCTTTCAACAACTCAACCAGAGTCTCCGACAAGAATTCCGAATACAATTCTCCGTCAAAGACGTCTCAATAAGTAGGGATCTAAAATCTTGGTGTCTAGTACACCAAGCGAACCATCAACTCCAAATCTCTTCCGGAAATTGTTAGCTCTATGTAGGAAGGAAGTTTCTTGTCGCCAGTGATAATGAATATTTCTGTTAACCCCTCCATTATTTGTGAATCTACTCTCAATACACCATGAAATTTTATAACAAATTTCATTATCCTGACGATGTTGTCTACAAATTTTTTTCTCAAATGATGAGTTTTTCTGACTGTAAAGTTTAAATTTATTTCTCAAAAATTTTTAAAACGACGTAGTCGATATAGCACTATACCTAATGTGAAATCTCTCTCAATGATATTTCTTTGTTCTCAACTATTCGGTATTCCACAAATCCTGAATCAAATAAATATTACTGAGAATGTCTTCTGAACGTACTCAAAACGCTAATTTCATTGTCGCCATCTCATTTAGTTAGTGTACAACTCATTCACGAGGGTTTTTCAAATGAACCATGATTCCGAACACTCCTCACAATGTGTTGAAAATGTCTTTTAGATAGCAGACGTCTCTCGGGGTACAATTCCTCATACAAAAAGATCCAGTAGCATTTCTCAAACTTCTCGAGTATACGAAAAACATATCAATTTTATCGTCGAAAAATTCATCCCATCACAAATTCACACGAATTGAATACGTTTTTACATACTTGACAGTGAATTTGACAATTATACATATTCTGTTAATTCATGACTCACTTTAAACAAATCGATTTCAGTACTATTAAATTTTTTCTTCACTATTTTTATTTGCAAGAAATAAACATTCTTGTTCCATAAAAATTGGCTTTTGAACAGCTCTTCCATATTTATACAAAACCCCGCGAATGAATGGACGTTCACCTCTACTTACAAATTTTCAAAAGATGTGTGGAGTTGATATGTATCTTTGAGTTCTGAAATATTGTTTTTTTTACTTTTTGAGACTACACAAATATTGCTGTTTTTTTAAAGACAAACGTCGAGAAACATATGTATTGTGAAACATAGCTGAATTTGTTATTCCAGTCGCTTCAAAAATCGAAGAAAAAAAACTAGAGGTCCCTATTTAAAAAAAATAATGTTAATGAAATCTGATGAATGAAACGTGTGTATATATTTATCGTTTGTATCTTTCAAGATAGGCTTTTCTGAAAGGTTCTCAGTTCTACATTTCACTTTTTACTATAATTCCACATTTCAAAATTTTTAGAAAGGAAAATATTCAATGTGTTTAGAAAATAAATCCACATAATTCAAATTAAACTATGTTATGATTGAATGGCAAGTTCCATGAGTCTTATGTAAGTAGGTCCTGAGTGTCTAAAAAACAAAATTCACAAAATATAAAATAACTCTTACCTGTTCAAAAGTTCATATTGATGTTCGGAATTGTAAGCTCTTGCATACAAAATGTTTTCGAGCACTGTAGTTTGATCCAGATTGAACCTTTCAGCTATAGGTCTCAACCGCTCAGGTCGACTAAATTATAACATCATGTAAGAAAAATATTTGGTAGTATCAAAATTGAGTTTTTCAAATAAATGTTCAAAATGAATGTCATGAAAATCTGTATGAAACTATTCTTTTAATGACCAGTATATATTTTATCCACTATGAAATAATAATGTGACATAATATGATATAAAGATTACATTTTACTCTGATAAATTTCATCTGCTGAGGAGTGTGAAATATATTTCAGTATTCAAGAAAAAAATTTGAAATAGAAAAATACGTTTTCAGTTTCAGGTTTAGCCTCGGGTTTGGTGATAAAAAATATTTTAAAGCAAAGTACAAAGAATTAACGAATCTGCCAACTAGGAGATTGCATTGGAACTGCTATAAATTATCTCTGAAGATACCCATTGTAATAGTGGGCGAAACGTTCAGAACCAATCTCTCCTTAAGACCACAGCACATGATGAACTATCAATCTTATTATATTATCTACTGTAATAAACTGAAAACGAAACTCATATTTAATTCATTGATGATTCATTTATTATTTATATTTTCCTATATATTGAGTTATTCGACAAAGTATTCTTGAAATTTGTAAAAACAAAAATGTGAATTTATGGCAGGGTAATAAATATTTTGTATCCATAGCTATATTAGGAATAATTCAGATTTAGAAAATATTGTGAAGGCGGACACCCAAGAGCAGGAGTGGCATGAAACATTTATAATTACTGTACGCTGCTTTTAAATGTCCAATAAATTGAAACTGAGTTTCGTTGACTACACAGTATCTCCTATGAAATCGAATAGAAAAAAAAGTACTTTCATTAAAGGATACAAGGTGTGTTCAGTATCAATAAACATAACTTTGCCTCCGAGATATCCATTACTTCCAGGCATTTGAGCTGTCACACATAGAGTATGCGAAAGTTGAGTCTTTCCAGTGCGGAATTCTCCAAATACTTCCGTTATTGACATAGACTCGATACCTCCTCCCAAAAGTTTACTGTGAAAAAGCATTGGTAAATAAGAAAAATTATATTTGTTGAAGAAAGCCTTATTCAACAATTCAACTCAAAAAATTAAAACATATCTCACTCTAGTTTAGCACTCCCAGTCTGAAGTTTAAAAATTTGTTTTCTTTGATCAGATACTTCCAAAGCAGTCATGAAACCATTACTAAAAGATATTTTGCAACAGGCTTCTTTGATTTTTTGTATCTTGTCCTCATTGAATCCTTTCAATTCAAGTAACTTTTTTCTAATCGTCATTTGAATTCCTTTTATAGTATTTATGCCTATGTTTTTCAATAGTTTTATATCTTCTAGGGATATGTTGTATTCAGCCAGCAGGTCAATATCATGAAAAAATGATTCCTCTTCCTCCAAGTCCAAATGCTCGTATGATTCACCGGTTCCAACATCGCTGCTGTTGACAACTTCCATTTTCTCTAGAGTTACAGACATTTTCCTACTGAAAATTTAATATTGTACAATATTTAATAAATAATTTCTGGAAAAGTGTATATGCTGCATCAAGCACCAAACAAGAGACACCCAGTTTGTATTTTGTTTTGCGATTTCAATTTTTTGTGTCAAGTAGTGGCAGCTCTGCATGAAGGGTTCAACATTTTGAATAAGTGGAAGATTATACACGTCGAAAGGAAGACTAATCTACATAAATTTTCAAACGTTGTGACGTCACATGTATGATCTGCATCTAAAATATTTTGTTCATCGTGAAACTTTATTTTTGGGATTGTATAGATGGTGGACCATTTAAAATAGTCCAGTTAAGATGGCTCCAATAGACGAGGTTTATCTTGTTAACCAGGCAGCTTGATTTCACCCCCATGAGAAGCATCTTTTAATAGTAGGTATAAAGGATGCTAATGGTGGCAGTCCCTACATTACATTGGTGGCAGTCTTCAATAATTTTAAATTGCATACTGGTCGAGTGGCAAACATCATTTTAAAGTTATTTTGAATTTCTTTGCAAAACATACTGATAGATAATGTAAAAACCTGTTGGGTGAAATAAATCGACAAAACGAGTGTTTATATTGCGAATTATTATAAAATAATTAAATCTTTGTTCAACATTGTATCTAATATTTCGTAGAATAGCAGGGGTTATTTCACCACATGTTACCATATTATTCTGTCTCAAAGTGCATCTAAAGAATAGGTTGCGTTTTCAAATGATCCCATAAGAAGCCAGTTGTGTCAGTGATATACCATTTCCATTCCGAATTGAAAAAAAATATCTGTTAGTTATATTTTAGATGATCATAGATTTGAAATTAGTTGATTCTGGTGGATTTTAGCTTCCAGCCCTTATTTGAAAAATTTCAAGTTTCTTTCAGATTCTATGCATGATCTACACATCTTTGTAAAGAGTTGTTGTTGATGTAGGTAGTAATTATTTTCATTATTTCTTCCCACTTTCTGTATAATGATGAAGATTCAACTTCTAAGGATAGTCGTTCATAAGGGGTGGCATCTGGTTAACGGATATCGCATTTCAAACAGACAGACAGATTTTCAATCTGTCGAAAGACTATGTTTGATTTCTTTGCCGAACATGTCGAATGAATTTTCGATCTAATTGTACAGAAATAATAGATGTAGGTATAGTCTTACGAAGTCAATCCGAACAGCTAAATAAAAGACTAATGTACTGGATCTGATAAATTCACTAGTCAATACCATATAAAAATAATGATCACCCATGCAGACCCCTCTTTCCCAATGGGCACTTTGGGCAAGTGTCCAGGGACCCGCGATCGATAGGGGCCCCCCTCAGATAAAATTCAAAATCCCTAGTTCCTGTCAGATCACCAAATGATAACCAATATTTATTACCAAAAAACTTAGATACTTCGAAGAAAACGAACCTAAATTACTGACTACAATACCAACTGACTAGCTTTTACATCCGACTTCAGCATGCTTAGATAAATTTGAATATATAATGGTATACTAAGCACATCCACATTTTAAAGAAAAATCATCAGTAGTACTCTTATCAGTGTGGCTTGCTCCATCTAAATTGAGCTAACGAAGAGAAAAGTATGAAGCTCCAAGTTTGAATTAACCAATTAATTTAATTGAGAAATTACATAGAAAATTGAAACCAAACTCTCCAACCTAACTGACTAAAATCTACGAGGCCTCCACTTCTTATACTCTCGTCCACTACAGCCGTCCACTACAGCCGTCCACTACAACCACGCTACCTGCATCAAAATGGGGATCCGACCGGCCCACTAGGGACTCCTGTTACCGACCGCGATTTCTCTTATTCACTGTTATAAAATACAATGAAATATATGAATATGTTTTTATCTTTAGTGCAATCTCTAATGCTTACTTAATTGTATTTGTTTTATAATTAAAATTTAATAAAATATTTGTTAAAGTAATTTTTCCATACCGCTAAGTTACTTTTGTGGACTATATTACATTTATCTATTCGTTTCATGTGATTGTTAATAAAAAATAAATATTTAACCTTATTTATCTACTTTCTTTATCTATTCTAACAAAATAGTGTTCTGTCAAAGTCATAGGAGCCCCATTATCCAATTATGCCCAGGGCCTGCAACAGGTTAAAGACGGCCCTGCGCCTATGCCATACAAAGAAACTGCCGACTTTTGGTAACTATTTAGTTTTTATGCATGATCTTTCTAAGCAATATGGTACGGGCAATAATACTGTCAAACTGAATTGCTACAACACTTTTTATACTTTGGTAAATTCAAAAGTTTTGAGAAACTACTGAAATCAAGTTTCAAAATTTCCAATTTTATGCATTGTAATTTATTTCAAATACATTGTAGGTTTTTATTCTATAATTTCATCAATATTTAACCACAATTAATGACCCCCACAAACTTCATACCATATCTAGCTCTCATTCTTTTGGAATAGATGAAAAAAATCAAATTGAAAGGGATATATTTTCATGAAACATTAATTTTTGGGAAAGGTTCTTGAATAAAGTCGTAATTGTATTCATCTTGTTATCCAGATTGGTGCGGAAGAGGCAATAAGGCAAGTGTATCATTCCGAAACATTGGGTGTCCGCCATTGAGGATGACAGTTTTCCATGTGAGTGAGATTTTGCCTCTTTTATGTACTATATTGTGTAGCAATCCTGTGAACGATATCTGATTCCATTCCATAACGAATGTTTAGAGTACAAATTGAAAAGGAAACTGTCTTCTCTAGAACTTTCTTATTAGTCAGTGGGCTATGCTTGAAGACTGGCAATAAACAAATCTAAAGAAAAGAACTTTAATCGTTCAAGCCAGTCTCGAATATACCTACATAGTAGGTTGAATGGACTGACGCCTATCAGAAAACAACTACTCCCCTGCACTGACGCCTATCGGATATAATTCAACGCCCTGCCTGGTATTAGCCAGGGAAGTAGTCGTTTTCTGATAGGCGTCAGTTTATTCAACCTACTGTGTAGGAATATTCGAGACTGGCTTGAACGTTTAAAGTGCATTTCTTTAGATTTCTTCTCTAGAATTCAGTGTTCATACAAATGTAGTTGTTTCATAAGTATTTTTCTTTCATATAATTGAATATTTATATGAAACTAGTTATTTCGAGAGAGATTTTTCTATCAGTTTGTGTCTAACAGTCACTTCTTTGCATAACCAACACATCTTTGTATATAATTGATTTTGGAGTCAATTGCTTTCTTCCTTTCTTTGGAAGATTCCCACATTTATTATATGAAGATGAAGAAGTAGAAAGCCAAAACCTTTTGCTCTGAATAAAAAAAAATCTTATTCAACGTTTAATTATAAAAATATTGACAAGACCCACGAAATATATACAATTTGGGAATGATTTTCTCCCTCAAAGAAAAAAATCAATCCACTTACATGCATATTTAACCCAAATATATTTTGAAATTTTCCTACTTTCTTGGTGCTCTTTCCCTTTTTTCTCATCACATATTATGTTCTTTTATTTGACAAGGCTGAAATAATCAGCAATTTTTTTTTCAAGGTAAGTGTAAAGTGAAATACCAAAGTTATTATAAAACTTGTATATTTTCATTTGGTATACATAAATAATAAATATAACGTAGGTCTGGATATAGATAATCAATAATATAATTTTACTAAATGGTAAAGAAGCTACCCTAAACTGGTCTTTTATAAAAATTTGAATCACGTTCAATAAAATGTATTTTGAATATATATATATATAAAATCATTTAGTGTAAATAAGAAATAAAAATAGATATACATATTAAACAGAAGTACAAGAATAAATAATTTACAAAGATAATTAATCATAATTATTTCTTAATATATCATAAAAAAGGTATCTAGAAACTGATAATCATTTTTTTCAGAAAAATTTGAATAAACCTTGAAGTCATAGTTTTTGTGTCTCTCAGAATTCAATTGTATTAATTCCTCTATTTCTGGATACAGTTTCTTTTTTTTTGAGTAAATATCACCAAGTAGGTGATATCCTTGAAATATCTCTTATTCCATCCTTCAATCGTGTACTAATTTGGTGATCATTGAAATGGCAACAGATTCCTCTTTTCATTAAAAAAATATTTATGTAAATTCATAATAAAAAAATAGCTGGCCAAAAGTATTAAACTTACAGCAATAAACCGTTAATAACAACTCAGTTCAGAAACAAAAATAATTTCATTGTGAGAGATTCATTCCTAAAAGACAATATCATTGTTGAGATTCAAGTCAGAATACTGAATGCTTTTTGCTTTCTTCATTTCCGAACATTCACTGAATGTTAGAGAGTGTCATGATAATTTACTACCTTTTACATGTTCAACCAATGAAAAAATATGAATCAATATCTTTGTTTTACAAGGGCCTAAAGGAATATAACAAACTTCCAGAACCATTAAAAGATTGTAGTAGTGTTCCTTAATTCAAAACTGAACTTATAGATTATATAAGATCGTCAAGTAAATGTTTCTACATCTTTACATTGAACCTTATTGCGAAAATAGTATTAATTATAATGTATGATACAGTTTTTATTACGTTATGGTCTTATTATTATACATCATCTAATAACTGTTGGGATGTTCCTATTTGAAATGAATAAATGATCGAATGATTGATCTCACTAGTTAGTTATACACCATTATAATCATCACTACAAAAATAATGAATTATGAGAAAAAATGCCTTTAGGTAAGCAATCTTCATAAATATTTCATATATTAACTCTCAAAAAATTTGAGATATTCTTCTACGTTTGTTTGAAAGTGGTTGACAATGTTTCATGGTGAATTTTATTAGTTGGGGCTTCCATTGTCTAATCTACGATTCGAAATCTATGAAAGAACAAATAAAATAAGAATGAATAGCTAAAATATCAATTATATCAAACAATAAAAAATAATTGGAAAATAAAAATAATAATGAGCAGTAAATTAAATATTGAATCAAATTTTCATTTTGAATTTTGATTATTTTATTCATTTTATTGTATTTTTATTTAGCATTTAATTGTTTAATATAATTGATAGTATAGCTATTCATTCTAATTTTATTTGTTCTTTTATACATTTCGAATCATAATAGAATCATATTAGACAATAAAAGTCTGAATTTATAAAATTCTAACTATTCAGGAATATTACTAAAAAAAAGGTGAATGAAAATTTCACATTCCAATGTCATTTAGGATTTGATTCACCTATTTTTAGATATTCTTAGAATAGACGGGGAAATCTTCACGAAATTCAGTTCATCCAAGTAATCATCAATTTGATTATCCAAAACTTTAACAATAATAATTATCATTTCATGTCTATTATGAATTAAGATATTCGTGAACGAATCATAAGACAACCTAAAGATTTTCAGAAAGAAAAATCAACAGAGATTGATTATGCTTGGGCTTCGTGTAGTCCAAATAAGTTAACTGAAATTTTCTTATCACATCACTAATATTAAATTAAATTCTGTGTAACAAAGTGTGATTTGGATTAAAATCTGCCAGTTCCAGTGACGACTACAATTAGAACAATCATAGAAAACACAGTAACAGTAATTAATTCCAACTGTTTAAAATTTTTCTGTGAATATTATGTAGAATATTTTTTTCAAACCATGAGAACGAGCACCACACCTAAGGGTCTAACTATGTAATTTCACCAGTTTGGAAACCTAATACACCTACTAGAGTTGCGTTTCCTTTATATAATGAAGGCTTAACGTTAAAGAAACTTTTAAGAGGGGTCTTTCGAAGATTGCTCCCAAAATGACAATTGCTAACTATTACCAACAGATATAATTTGATGTCTTATTCAATAAAAAACCTATTTTAGATCGTAGCAAAAATGGTAATGTGGTGGATCGGGTGGGATAGGTGGAGGATCTTGTGGAATTGTGACTCCCTCCGCATCCAATAACCTCAACTTAATCTCCATACTCAATAATGTGTCTAAATCTTTTTCAGTTTCCTTACTCTGCATTCTCTGTCCGAGCAGAGCATTGATGCCATCCGTCCAGTAAGCCAATGCCAACTCGTCTGGCGCCACACAATCTAAAGATTGCAGATCTACACCTTCCAAGGCTAAAGAGAAGGCCAGCTGGTGAGATGCCTTACGCCCCTTCATGTGAGGGCAATCTCTACCCACTAGTAATGCTCTGATATCAGAAACTGCCAGTTTGGATTGAAGTTCTTCTGTAGAGGGGGCGCTCTTTTCATCGCAATCACCGTAGTGTAAAACTTTATGATTGGGTGATAAACGCATGTACCAAAATTTGTCTTTGATCCTCTGACCTCTAGCGGAATACTTGGTGAATCTGGTACCTGAACAAAAATGGTTAATATTGCTATGAGAATACAAAACATATGTGTGTTTCTCAAAATTGGAAAAGTCATCATTTTCCTATTGAAAATAATTAAAAATTAAATATAAATATTAAATAATTAAAACGAATTTTTTATGTTTCATTTAAAATTAAAATGTAAAGAGAAGCCATCTTGTTACTGTTGTTTTTATGTGTGTTTTCAAATGTTTATGAAGTGATTTCTTTAGTTGGCACAAAAAATGTAATGAGTATAGAGTTTATGAAATGAAAGAATCAAACACAATAATTAAGAGCTGCAATCCTAAAGCATTAAAAAAAAGTAGACTTCATTGTATGTGTACCATTGAAGTTCATCTGTTCAACTAGCCTACAGTAAAGACGCTTCTAATAAGATACTTGATAAAAAAATGTATATTGTTTTTGTCCATGAAATGCATATTTTGAAACTTTTTACTGAAGTTCACCAAAATACCTTCTGCCGAACCAAACTTTACCTTACTTGAAATTATTCTTTTTGCTACATTATCAAGTAATTTATTGTCATTTTACAAAAAAGCAACTGTCTTGCTTTCATAAAAAAAATGATTCAAGAGAAAAAAAAAATTATCCCTGTAAATATTCAATACTGGTGAGATCTCAAACACGTTCTGAGTTGGGCTTTATACCCAAAAAATTTACACATTGAAACTATAGATGGATTGCTGTTATTATTAACATTTTTCAACAAACAATGATTTTTATAGGGAATATATTGAACAAAATCATAAACTCAAGTAATATACATGTAAGGTTTGACATCTTTCCTTAGAAGATGCTATCTATGGGATCTACAGAAAACTCAAACCAAAATAAACAAGGATTTTAGACGGCCAAGCTTCGATATCGACCGCCAAATAAAAAATTGCTTTCTATCTTCCTCTACAGTTTTTACTAATAGAAAACTAGTAGAAATCAGAGCTCTTAAATAGAGCATTCGTGATCTAACCCAAGATAAAGTTGTTTCAATCTGCCATATGTCTTATTAGTGATGCTAAGCTGAACGACAAATGCATTATTGAACTCAACTATTTTTAAAGAACAATCCTGAGCACAATTGGTACATAAACCGATAAATGAGAAATCACTTTTTGTCTTTGTCTGTAGCTTTCATTACAAGACAACTAAATTAAACCAGACCATCTTATCTGAGACTTTTTATGCTTTTTCATGTCCAGATTATGTCTTCTATGCCTATATTCATTGACATAAAACGAAAGACGTTCTTACGGTATTGTCGGGAAACCAGTGTTACCCTTTGATCCAGGGATATTAAATTACTTGTTTGAAACGAGAAGTATCGAACTTATTGGAACTATTCATTTTCTATATTCCGAAAGATATCAGTGAATAATAACCAGAGCGTAAATCAGACAGATCGACTAATTCAAAGAGTAATTTTGAAATCAGTTCAGCGAGTGGTTCCTAGAGAAAGTAATGAGTAAATGTACTGATATACTTTTAAAGTGTAATTGAAGTAAGGAGTGTTCAGCTGTAATTTGGGTTATGGTATAAAGTTGAATTTAACATAGTGTACCACAACATCTTTAAAAACTTTCATGTAATTCATCCACGAAGATGTTATACTTATAACAAGATAATTAAACTGAAACATCTACTCCTTTCTGGGAATTAACTATTCTTCACATCGAAATATATAATAGTTTGCCCAACATATCAACAAAATCTCAAAAATCTAATCAGGATACCCAGCAACCTGTAAAAACAAATGGTCAGGGAAAATGAAAACTCGAAAAAGTCTAATACACAAAAGTCAGGGAATTTTCATTCGTTTCTGGAAATTTCAAACATTTCAATATTTATATTTATCTTGTCAGTATTTATAGTTTGTGAGTTACTTTGATGTCTGTATTTTTTATCATCTAGCTATATTGGAAATAAAATTTTTTGAGGTGTTATGATGTGAAAGTATCAAACACAATAATTAAGAGCTACAATACTGAAACATTCAGCAACTTAAAAAGCTTCCTAAGTAATGCTGTGTGAATATTTCTATAAGAAAACCGTTCTCTATAACAAAACTAAAAAGTCTGATGACTGTCTTGAGGAAAGCTACACATTTTGAAGAAAAGAGAATTGAAACTTCCTATGTTTTTTACCACTTTTATTTGTAACTAACTTTACTGCAGTTTCATTCTATAACGACATTTTCAAACTTACACATTAAACTGCAGTATAAAAGTGGTAAAAACATAGAAAGTTTCAATTCTATTTTCTTCATTATGATTTCCTACCACGTAGTAACGGCTACATCCATTAATTTACACACATTTTATTTACTGAGAAAATGAATATTTTGAATTAAAATTCGAAACATTCACCTCTCCCAATGTCCCTACTTCCCTGACTAATATCAGCAGGACCTCAATGAAACTAATCAGTTGAGTACGAGATAGCATTGCTGTCTTGGTTATATCTGATCTGGCGCTAATGAGAAGTAATACTTTGAAACCTGTTTGTGGGTAACCACTCAATTTTCAGCAAGATCTTGCTGCTGGACTAACGAGAAGCATCTGGAAAAATTTCCTTTATGAGGAAACTTGCACAAATGTCTGTTGAATATATTCAAATGTTCGTCATAGTATTCACCAGGAAAGTAGTTGTGTTTGAGTTTTCGAAAAAACATCGGCTGAGGGTTGTTTCATTGAGATTATTAATTTTGGTTTGTGTAGAGATTGTCATAATCAACTCATATTAATATTTCACTCTTACATATTCAGACTTTTACTAGTGTATAAATTTTGTTTTCATGGTTCGAGTTCGAGAACAATGGTTAGTGCAAATCTAGAAAAGTCGGGGTATTTAGATCTACTGAAGTGCTGGATACCCTGAATGTAACAAAAATCAGAACTAAAGACCTACCTTCAACCAAAAACGAAAGCCTTTGTTGCTTCACCAGCCCCAAAATTTCGGGAGTGATCAGCTCCCTCAACTCAACCACAGGTCTGGCATGGGACTCCCATTCTTCCCTGGTGTTTCTCTCCAATTGCCAAAGTTGGGTGATTTCACCATAAGTCAACGTGTGTAACTTACTTTTCAGCTGTTCAAGTGAAGCCGGCGTAGTATCCAGAGCTCTGACAATCTGTTCTTGAACGACGCTAGCAACTTTTTGGAAGTCTTCGGCGGTAGCTCGCATTTCTTTCCAAGTTTTATTCAGTAAAACAATGCAGATGCAAAAGCACTCTTCAAAAGGATGATCGTGGGTGAAGAATAGTGGCTGATACGTTACACACTGCTCAGATGGTGGTTCACCTTGAATGCAAATAATGACAAACTGTAGAAAAACTTGAGAAACCTGATTAACTTCTTAGATCTTTTTCATCTTGAGGTTATCATTTTCAAGATGTCAGTAAATAATCAGATTATCGTATTCAGAGTGGCCAAACTGCGTCAATATTTTAGGAAAATGCAAGGACCTGATTTGTTACTTCGGTATTTTTGGCTCCACCACAAACTACTGGCAGTATCTTTTATCAATACTTCTGCTTCAACTCTTTCAGATGGTTCCTTTACAGAGATGAGTATTTCAAAGTGTATTTTCCCAGTATGTTACTCATTGACAAATTGACTTAGTCCCATACCATAGATTTTGTTATCTCTTCAGCTGATTTGGAGCCAATATATGGAGCGGACTAAGATTCCTGAGTATCCAGGTAACCAAAATAGAGTCAGTCTATACTGATCCACTAGTTTCCTCAGTTATTGTGAACATCTTCACACAAAGAAATTGTTTTGAATAGATATAGAGGACATTTGAGCCATCTTCTCTTCATATCCAACCATCCAATTCGACTCATCATATGTGATGTGTTACCTCTGCCTCACTCCGTAAATAAATCGGATACAAGAAGTTTGTAAAAGTTGTTTACTCATAACATCCTTGTAATATAAATTTGCTTCTTACAAAAGGTGGAGGAAAGCGCAGACTTATTGTAAACCCCAGTATCGCAGGCAGTTGGTAATTGGTCTAATATATGCTTTCTTGTCAAGCTCCCACTTTAAGCTTGGTTAAATTTGATGTAATTATTATACCAATAATTAAGGTACAATTAGGTATATTGATGAAGCACATAGGAAATGTAGGGTAATTACCATATTCTGAATATTCTTCAGTTACTGATGACATTGTCCAAAATACAGATTGTGTGATACCTAAAATAGCTAGCTTCATATTACTTCAAGCCTACGACACCATTAATCTTGAAATACTTTATAGCATGTGAATTGTAAAAATTTTCAAAAAATTCAAATGGATTTTTGAAAACTTATATAACATACAGTGTCACACATAAAGTCCGCATCAAATGGGATTTTTTTTTGTTCATCTCTTCAAGCAACTTTTGATATCTCCATTAGGTTGTGCTTTAAAAATGATGCCAAATGACATGCATATGACCGATCAAGTGAATTTTTTTCCCTGTCAAATTTGACATTTTTTCCAAAAAATGTTCAGAAAAGCAGTTATTGCTCGAAATTTTATATCGGAGAATACTTCAGAAACATGGTTTTTCTTGTTTTTTTCAACTCTGATTTTTCACTTTTAAAACTACATCAACACTGAAGAGAAAATCAGATATACCAACAGAAATCTCAAAGGTGTTCATCCTGATCAATGAGAAGTTGATGTACTAGTTTTCAAATAATAATAATAATATGAAATGAAGTAAAAATGTTTACCTGTGCATACCACGTTAGCATAGTAAATTTTTTTCAAAATACAATGTCAGTATAAAACACATCTGGATTTTCTATGCAAAGAATTCAGAAATGAAAGAATATCTAAAATCAGTGCTGAATCTTATTAGTAATAATCAAATTAGCACTTTCCCAGTTGTTTGCTCCCCAACAATAATCCAATATTTGAATATACTCGTGTGAATATAGGATTATTTTATCTCGAATGTTAAGTTTCAGATTTTGAATTTAGATGCAATTGAATTCTATTACCGGCATAGATTTTTAATATGGTATTATATGAGTATGTGATCTTCTAATTTTAAATTTCTTATGTCTCTACTAACAAAATCAATTGTTTTGGTATGTAGGTATTCTCTAGTAATTTTGCAGATAATCAAATTTTAATAATTACTTACCAATTTTTAGCAATTCGCACAGGATCCTCACCAGTTCAACACTCGCTCTTCCAAAAGGACATTCATGTTCATCTGCCCTACAACTGTTCTCCAAAACAAGTTTAGTATAATTCTCAGGATGATTGCGAGCAAAATAAATCATGCAATCTAGAGCTAAAAGACCCGGCGGGGTTTCGGTGAAGTCCAGAGCAGGATTTATATCATTTTTGAAACCAAGCTTCTTGTAATCCCTTGTAAAGCCACCCGGGCCTCTTGTACTACCAGCACCTTCATTATCGAAAGCAATTCGTCTGAGCTCCTTAATTTTGTCATGGCCATCTTGATCCTCGAAAAAATATATCAAATATTCATTGTCATATCAAACTTCATAGTCATTTAATGTCCAACTAATGATAAATATTTTATTTTTGAGACAATGAGTCCTTTACAGGGTGGAGCAATGTAAACCAAAGAAGGCCGATTTTATGCTAGGTTGGCATTCAGAAACTAAAAATGCAAAATTTTCAACCTTGTAACTTTCACCTTCTCGGCAGGTAAGGTCCTATCTTTACATCCTCAATGACATCATGTTGAGATCCCTAATATAAACAAATTGATTTCCCTTTTCAGAATCAAAATCATTTATTTCATCCAAAACTCCTATTGGGTACAGAACATTACTAAAATTTATGTGGTAAAAAAAACTATCAACAATTTGACTGTACAAACATAAATTTCATAAGTATATAAAAAACCATTCAAGGTAGTTTCATTGTTCCATATTGAATAACTCATATGGATCATAATGCAAATTTATTTGCAAAACTTTTTTAATGGATCCAGAACAATCACTTCTCCCAATTACCAGAAATGTGAAACACATGTCGAGAATAGTATTGCATTTTTGAAAAAGTGCTTTTTTGGATCTATTCTACGCCAGAGGTGCCAGTTTTACTTACATTTTTTTATAGAGCTTCAAAATCTGAAAACTGTAGTCTCATTTCTAACATATTCTGACATTAGATGCTTTTGTATTCATGGAAATTGATTACCCAATCAAGATTATCAAATCTAGGATAGACAAAGTTGTTAGATCTAGTTTGATATGGGTGAACATCATGATATTCTGGAAGTGCGTTTCTTGTTTTGTAAGTAAGACAACTCCTTCCAGTAATGAAGACGGGCCTATCGGAAGGACATTCAACTCTGCGAATAAAGGTTTGTAGATGGATCTATTTGCGATTTTCATTATAGCTTTTATCTTATTGCCCTTTTTTGTGATACTGTCAATGTAGCACTGATAGACATTCTTGAACACAGTGACTACTACAATGGGAATTAATTGATATTTTAACAAACCGTTGCTGTTTTGAGTATTTGAAAGAAACACTTCTTGGTAGATGTATTGCTCAAAGAGGAATAGAGGAGACTACAAGGTCACTTGATGTAAGTTCATTAAATTTTTCAGGAATTTCATAGACAACAAATAAAATTCAATCAACACCTGGATGTTGAATTATTACACCTTTCAACAAAAACTCTATTAATTTATGTAAGCACGGGGACGCCACTTTTTTCGTAGTACGTTCTTTTCAAATCCCTAAAGCTGTGCTTAGAAATATTGATATGTTTTCATACAAATATGGCATCATCTGAATTCCAGTTGAAAGTGTATAAAAACTAACTGTCTTCATGTTGTTTTTTCTCAATTTCTATTTCATTAAATTATCGAAAGTAGAAAGTGTTGAAAAAAGAAATCAATGATCTTTAAAACTAGCTTTTCTTAAGATTCAAGGGTTGAATCTCAACCCCCCAAAGAGTTGCAAGTGACAAGATTGAAGATACCCATAAAAAATTCACCCTCGTATGGGTTCAAGCAAATTTTTTCTTTACCACAACAATGAGAATTTGGCCTTGTTTGATTTCCATCAACACACATTTCATGTTTTTAAAGCCTCCAAATTCTTAATATTGAAAAATTACCTGAGGATCCATTTTTGTCATCATTCTTTGTTCCAAGAGTCCCAACATCAAAGTCTGCAAAACATATAGCTGATGTGCCATTTCGGCTCCTTTGGCAGCCCCAGTTTGTAGAATATTATTTTGAATCATAGTTCTAACTTGTTTCGATGTGAGAGTAGCTACCAAAGTTCTTCTTTTAATAGAATCAGCTCTTGAAAGTAAAGCATTTATCAGTGCAACAGCATTCTGCTGCACAACTGGTGCAGCTTGAAGATGGACCACTAGCGAGCCTATGGGTACCTCTCGCTCGACCTAAAAAAATGAATGATAACTAGGATATTGGGGAAACTTTTTCTAATGGAAGATGACAAATCATATTTTTTTATACAAATTTGGAGGTAACTAAACGTGGTTGAATTATTATGTTGGTAACAAAAATTATAGAAAACAAGCTTTGTCTTTTAAAGTACTAGCTGCTGAAAAGTTAGCTTCTGGCATACTTGGGGACAAAAGGAATATAGGCTCTTCAAATAATGAGCATCTTTATTACTACTAAAGTTTATGTGGAAAGATTATGAGTATAAACATAACTGAAAAAACAGTTAACTAGTTTAGCCATCCGATTATTTTTCTCAAGAAAGGTTGGTTGAGTAACCTAACCAACTTTTCTTCATATAACTGAATAAAATCTAAAACCAGTCAAATGAAAGATCATCAAATATGAACATATTTTGTCAAAATGATTTGAGCCCAAGATTAATGTAGAAAAGTAAGTATTTATTCATCCACGAGGTCTATACATAAATAGAATTGCTACTCTACATTATATAAACCGATTGGATAAGTCACAAAATAAGAGGTTTTAAATAAATATTATATTACATAAAATTGTGTGAAAACCATGAAGATGAAACTATTATTTATAAAAATATTTATAGAAAGTCAAAACTGTACACATCACAAATTATAACTTGAAATTAAAAAAATCGTCTAAACTATAAAAGCTATGTTCTACTGAAAAAGATTCCAGGATGTTTTTGAAATTCATGGTATTATTTGAGTCCTTATATTTTGTATCTAGAATGATACTGAAGACTGGGACATTTGATACCCACATATTCCATTTCCAGAATGACTATTTCCCGCCACTTGTATGCTTTGATTCTTTTGTAGTTACTACTTTTCATTCCATCTCAATCAAAGTAATCTTTGGAATAGAATACTTGTCAAAATTATTATAACTCTCAATATCATTGTCCAATTTAATACACAAATATATTATAAAAGTATATTATAACAACAACCTGTTTGTGACATTTTACCTTATCCCTCTGACTGTTAAAACATATTCTTATGGACTGCCAAAAATTCAGTGAAAAGAGGACAAAACATCAATGTATCACCAACAACGGACGCCCTTGGTAATGATGGAAAAGGCAAAGACAAACTTACAGGTTTTTGGGAGATATCTATATTTCTAACAGAATTATAGACTGGTAGCAATGCAAGTTAGAGAAGTGGTTGATAGCTATAAATGTTGATACCAAAAAAATAAGTGGAATGAAATAATTAGGTCCTAAAAAAAGTTCTATGGCAAAAATGTGTTTACAGAATGTATTTTACCTGTCCGTAACCCTCTGTACTGTTGAGAACCACATTTTCTAAAATTGAAAGTGCTGCCTGAGTGATCTGTGCTTCCTGCGGTGTGTTCACAAAACCTGCTACTCTAGAAATGAATTCTCCATTTAAGATATCCCAAGAAACAATACCATGCTCCATCAATTCCACAAAAGAAAGAAGGGTGTGTGCAAGTACGGTACTTTTACATTTTCCTCCTTCAATTTGTTTAATAATTAGGGTTAAGCCTTGTTTATTTATGAAATCAAGAGCAAAAGTCATATCAGCACTGAGAGTAGAAAGTTTACTCATAGCATTAGTTTTATCTTCAGAGCTTCCCGTGTTCAGTTTGTTGAGAATATCTTGAGCTGTTTTAGAAGGTGAATTCTGTAAACGTAAGACAGATCCGTTTTTTATTTCATTTCTATTTTTTTCAGTAATATAATTGCTATTATTGTTTTCATTGAACTGTAAGGCATATTGTTCCGGATCCGTGAGATTCCATCCATTGCATAGTTCTTGTATTATGCCTGCCAAGGGTTGCTTTTGATTGAATTCTATCAGTTGTGGTACCTGATCAGTCATTTCAACCGCAATTTTTACAATACTGGCGTCCTTCATGGCTGGCATTATTTTATTCCTCAACACGAGAAAATTAAATATTTCTCAGCTGATCAGTTATATCAGAAAAAAAAATCACATTTTCATAATTTATTTGGACATGTTCAAAACAATAATACTCCCTTTTCTAGCAATATTTTTGACTAATGTAATATGTCATTAGCACAGAACACAAAAAATTAAATAGTCGGGGGAAAAGAGCCTCTGATTAAAGGAATTAAATTTCTGTGGCCCCGTCATTCTGTGAAAACAAAACAAGGCACAGAATAGTAAATAATGCTTTAAAGAAATAATTTGAGTGAAAAAATCGACCTTCAACTGTAAACCTTTGACTGTTCAGTGCCACAGACAATTCCAGAGTTTTCAAAAAGTTTTGTTCTATTTCCATTGCGATTGTCTCTATATGAACAAGATGGCAAGCCGTAAAGGAATGGTGTGATTCCAATCTACTATCCTTCAACATTAACATAACAAATGTGGTCTCATTCAGATGTGATATATGGAAGGTACTCTTGGAAAATTAAAAAATTAAATAGTTGCAAAATGTTTCGGGCTATACATTGATGAGAGACTGAAATTTGATAGTTATTTATATAAACGACTAGCAGCAGGATGCCATGCAATGAGAGTTATTGCAAGAGAGTTAAATAGTGCTATCACAAGATCTATTTACTTTGCTCAATTTGTTCCCATTTACGTTATGGAATTTGCCTCTGGAGGCATTGTGCGCCTTTTTTCAATACGATATTCTCCATATAAACAAGGGCCATAAAATATTTGTGGTATCATATCATCACAGTCATTAGCGTCCAGTATAAAGTTTCAGAAGAAACTAAATAACAAAAACAATATTTATGCAAGGCTAGTTATAAAGATTAATTCCGTCCTTTGTTTGTGGAACAGCAGATTCTGACATAGTCAAGTTAATACCACTTCAACATATAGTACCTACACTACACTACACCTACACTAGCAATTAAACAAAATTCGGTTTTCTTCAAGAGTAAAAAGTTATTTATTAGTTAGCTTTCCATTAATTTGAGGCGAATGAAGAATGAATGAAGATTTAGAAAAAAGGTAAAAGAATGTCTTGCTGTTAGGGCCTATTATAGTGTGGATGAATTCTACCAAGATACCACAAGGATTTAGCTATTAACTTAAATATCCTAGCCGAATTCGATGATAATTTCAACTAAGTACGACTTAACTGTAATATTTCGAAAAGTTTATTTCATTGGCTATAATTTTATGACTTCTTTGAAATGATTATATTACTATTACCTACATGTATTCATTTTATCTATGTAGTATCCTATTTGTATAGATATTTTTCATTTAAATTTTCTGCAATGCTTCGTCGATAAGAATACCTACATTCTAAAACAATGAAGTATATTTAAAATCAAATTGAATTGTTACAACATCATTCTCCTACAATTGTAACCCAAATAATTGTATAAATCAAACTATCAAACACCAAAAACTTACTTTTCATAAACTACACCTCACGATTTGATCTCCACAAACTTTATTTGAAAAATATATCACGTCATGTTTTGCTTCAACTCAAATCAACTCAAATCTCTGTTGAAGAAGCTACTGTGTTAGCGAAATATGTCGTGATTTATTTTTCAAATAAAATTTGTGGAGATCAAATCGTTAGGTGTAGTTTATGAAATTACTATAGATCTTCATCAAGTAACGGCCGAATCAATCAGAAAAAAAACTAAAAATTTATTTACTACATGTACTCCATTTTGGCTTCATTTCACAATCGAAGTACCAGAATATTTGGAAAAATGTTCATGAAGTTCAATGAAGAATATATATTCTGATGTTTGAACTAATCAATTATCACTTGTAATAAGATATTTTTACGTTCGAATAAAAACTTCAAATCGGAATGAACAATTTTATTTTCACCGATTATAGATCATAAACTATGGCAATGAAAAACTACCAAATAAAATAAACTAATTCAAAAAAAATGAAAATAAAATTTTTCGAAAATGAAATAATGAAAATCGACTAAAAAAATAATGTTCAAATTTTATTTCAGTTATTCATAATTATGTGCTTCTATTGAACCATGAACGAGTACAGCACAATAAATAATTTATTCTAAATTTATTTATTGTAGAGATAATATTGCTTTGTCAGCCATTAGTGTACACAACAGTACGAATTTTTTAAACTAGCGATCTCTCAACTAAGATGTCTTAAAACTCTCAACATGGTGACGCGCTTGCGCTTGTCACATGAAAAAAAACTCCTATTCAAATTTCCCCCCTAAGCTTCTAACCTCTAATATGTTTTATATGTCAAATTTTATTGAATTTCTCCTTAGATATAAAATAATGAGAAATTACCTATATTTACAATTTCCCATAGATGAAAAATGTTCAAAAGTAATGCGCTTTCTCTGTTGAGTATTTACGGAACTGATTCTTCTGATGACGACGACGATGCACCTGGTCCCAGCATTTCTATGAAAAGACCTAGAAGGGATGATGACACAAACTTGCCTAGTAAAAGGTAAAAATGAAAACTTATGTGAATACTATCACTCCCTAGTACTTTTTCAGATTACCACGTCCTGATTTATTAGAGAATACTGACGGACCGATACCCGAGGAACACATTGATGACCCGTCTTTGCATGATGGTAGAATAAGAACTTTTTCACATAAAAGAGGAAATTGGCCCACTTTTGTCTATATTCCCAGTTAGTACTTGTGTTATCTTCAGAGTGGTTTCATACACCAGTTTTGAGTTTTTAATTAATGAGTTTGTCAAAGTGAATTAATTTTCAGTGCCAACAGTCATAACAAATGTTTGCCAACATTTCTTAAAACTCTCGACTTACTACTTGAGACTGGTGCAAGAACAAATTTCAATCTATCGAATAATCCCAACATAGTTCTGATTTGCTAGACCATATAAAGTGACTAACTATTCTTGAGAATTGATGAATATATTGGACTAGAAAAGGTTCATTTAAAAAAATCTATGCACAGTAATAGAGAGTCATAGTGATATAGATAGAGAAAAATAATATTGACAAAAGAGTTGTAACATTTTTGACATTAGAACGATCAACAATATAAAAAAGCATTATCAATCAATGAATGAAAATGACAGCAAAAAGAGATTACAAGGAATATTTCTTGTTTAAGTAAAAAATATGATCCTAAATTTCATCACCTAGTTACTGCTGAAATTATTGAAGTTTATGTCAAAATCACTGAAATAATGACTATTAAACTTACTATTAAGAGTTTTTTATTTTTGCCCTGTTTGACTTATTATTTTGTATAATTTTTTTCATTATCATTTGTTGTATACAAAAATTATTTTTACACTTCAAGAGCTGATTGAAATAATTGTTTGTAATACGAACATAGAAAATCTGCAAGTGCCACTGCTCATGAAGAATCATACAGGAAGAAATTCAAGGCATAAATGTGTGTTGGAATTATTCCATGAACTCATGAAAACTGGTAACATTATAACAGACTGCATGTTCATCAGGAATAGTCAATAATGAAGGCATTAATGTTGTAGTTCTAGGCATTGTTGCCATGATGGAAAATAAATAGTCTTTGTTTAAGTTACCTAAACATCATGAGTGAGTCATACAAACGTTTTCAGAATTCTTCATCCATCAACTCAAATCACGCCTTAACAAAATGAAGATGATTTTGATAGAAGAGTTGAATTTTTGTGAGAGCATTTTGGAATGTGTTAACCGTAATCCATCTTTATTTTACACCACATGTTTTTCCGAGGAATGTACCTTTTATCTGAATTGGCAAGTGAATCATCAAAATATCCTATATTGGAATAATTCAAATTCGAAATATCTCCAAAAATAGGACCATTTTTGAAAGCAAACCTAAATGATGAAGGATATTTCAATTTGCTGAATATTCAAGTTGTCAAGCATGAACAAACCCATCTGGTTAGATCATCACCATCAAGATGGGGTTGCTCGTTATTGCATAGTACCAGTGCGACATTTACTCAGTAATAACTTTCCGGGCCAATGCATTGGAAGGACAGATTATACAGTATGGACACACAGTTTGAGCACTTATTTACAACCATTTTATCAATTTTACTGGAGTGTATATGTGTGAGAAATATCAGTACTAAAGTTCTGGACTAATGAACGTTTCACAGATCAGTTGACACTATTTTGTAGGTTTTAATAGCTTTTTGTACATAGTAAACCAATTGACCACATAGACAAGTGTTTCTTACTGTTTGACCCATCATCTTTTGGTGGCTTCAGGTATTTGCGCTCCTTTTTCAACCATACTTGCACTTGCCTACACCATAATAGCCCGAAATACTTATCTATGGTTCTATAGTTAGTTCATTAGTGACTTGACCAGTGTAATTTTCAAGTTGTCAAGTTAAAGATAATGCTGGCTGAAAAAACACATTTTTATTTTTTTTTATGTCTATCATATCCTGTACTTGTTTTGCATAAATTTATGGAATATGGTGAGAAATGCTGATTTCATTCTCAAAGGGACATTAATTATAAAATCAATTTATGGTCTTGCTTTAAAATATGATTATTGAATTAGTTACTTACGTATTTTTTCTACCGACCATGAATCTGAAGTCAAAACTTGGTATTCCTATCTACTTTTAGAGATATGCTACTAATAAGTCAAGGCTATTGAAAGATTTTCTATTTCAGGAACTCACTTTTAGAAATAAAAGCTTGTCAAATGAAACATTTTTTTCACAATCACTTGTCACTACCACTTCATTCTGAGTTTTTATTATAAAAGGTGGGTTAATGAATTAGTCGATTTTTTTTATTTTCAAGTGGTCATATCTACGAAAGAAGGCCAGAATAACAAGTTTCAACTTCAGATTTTTGACCAGTGGCATAAATAATAAAAAATAGACTCTTCACTCTTTCATTTTTATTTTTGTTCAAATGCTTTCCACAGTTTATTTCCTACGGTGATATATTTTGTTTTCTCTCACAATGTTTGTTTTCAGTTGAAGTGACTTGTGAAATGGAAGAATTGAGAACGGAAGTTATGCAGGGCATTCCAGAACACTTCAATTTCAAGAGATCTGTAGATCTGCACCTAAGTTTGACAAAAACTGTAGAACTGAAGCACCATTGGATTGAGCCATTTATAGGAAGTTTGAAAAGACGGAACCATTGTAAAAAGTATGTTTTTTATTTAGATTGAATAGTTTTTTAGTTTTCTAATTTTATTAGTAGCATTCATAGTTTTGTTGGTTTCATGAAAGAACAGTATGAACATTTAGTAGAAAATAAAATATTTATTCTCCTTCAATATATATTGTTGTAACGAGTGATAACAAAAAAATTTCATATCATAGTTGAAAGATATGTTTACAATTAACAAGTGACATACTATTTATATCTAGGAAATGATTGTACAAATATGGTTGAATTGAACAAAATTTCAATTTTTGGGACAATAAAACGGTATTTTTCAGTTGAACTTGTTAATGATTCTCATGCCTACAAAATATCAATGTTTTTCTCTCTTCCAGTGGTAAATGAGAATATTTTTCAAAGCATTCATTTCCTATAGGAAAGGAATTCATCTACAAAAAGTGATGAACTCAAATGATATAGAATCAATTATTTGATTGGTACCTAGGCAAATTTCAAATTACCTCTCATAACGATATGAAATTTTTTTTAACAACAATCTGTAATTGTTTGACTCATTCAAAGATTTGCAACTTGAGTACATATTTTGTATTGTCTCTAGAAAGCGGGACATAAACCTCTTGCTCAAAACTCAAGAGTTATCATTGAGTTTACATTTGTATTGACCTATATGTATAGTGATAAACTATCAACTATGTCATTCTCTCTATATTCTTTATTCTATACTCATTTTCAGTTTCCAAAACATTCGAATTACTAGAAACTGATAGTAACTATCAGCAAAATAACACATGTAAGTAATATCTGATGTGAAATAACATGATAATTTCATTGAAATTGCGTTTTGAGTGATACTATTCCAAAATAGTTCTCTAATCTGAACTTCATGCAGTTATTCCTCATATTTCTGATTTGCTTTATTGTATTTGAAAACATTGAATCATGGAATAAAATGTTTTATCATTGAAGTTCAACAAAGACCTGACCATATGACCTGAATGACTAATCCATAGCTTAGAGAAGGAAACTAAGGAAAGTGACAAAGCGTTTTATCTTTGAATATCATAGCTTACATTATGGTGGAATAGGAAAAAATTTTGAATTAGTAATTTGGAATAGCACTGTGGGATAAAATATTCCTGAAATACACATACCACATGTTCCAGGTCCCGTAATGAACACTACGTTAACATAGCTGTACTGCTTTAGAAAATATTTAAATAAGTATATGACTGACATCTATGTCCCAATAAGTTCAATATCAATGTCAGTTTTTTCTGTACCATTCTGATATCTGAAATATACTATCGCGCAGACTAGATTTTAGACTATAGCAGTTTTTTGTTTCAGATTCAATCTCGTTTTTGATGAATTACAAGCTTATTGCAATGAAGAATGTACCAGGACGTTCATAGGAGTTTCCATTTTGCATGGCCACGACTCGCTAGTTGATTTAGTCAATGTTTTAAACCAATGCTTAGCTGAATTCAATTTACCGTTATTTTATGACGTAAGTTGTTTCCTTGATATTCAAATTTTGATACATTCTCTAGTACATATATTCATTCATACTCAGGTATACACTCAGTTATGTACAGTGTCATCCCCAAAGTATGCACCAAATGGGAAACTTAATAAAAAAGTTTGGGAAACATATGGGAAACTTAATAAAAGTTTCCCATATGGTGCATACTTTGGGGATGATACTGTACATTAGGAAGCTGTTTTTGACACATACAGATACAGAGAGATACAGAGCATCTACTTGGTGTTTCTGAAAGTTACTGAATGTAAAATAAAAATTAGTTATCTGGACACCTTTCTGCTTCATAAGATATATTCGGTCTACTGATTGAAAGATGAATAACAGAATTTGGATTTCATTGCTTAATTTTCAATAAGGTTTTATTTTGTAATCTACTTCTATTGAAGTCTACCTACCACACTAGTATCTTTTGTCAGTTGTCTAATGTGAAATTTCTTCCTGATGTTTTGATAGAATGTATGGCTAGCTTCTTTAGAAATGAAAGTTGACTATTGTGTCCTCTGTCAGAAGTTATATTGATATTCTGTGGTGCTGTCTTCATTCGAATGAGGTTAGGTTCCATATTGAGTTGAACTTTAGTGTTATTTCTTGTCCATGTGTTTGTAGATTACTATCGCCTCCTACACTAGTCGACTATAATATCTCTCGGCTGGTCCTAGTAACTCAATTCCTGCTAAGGGGATTTGGTGATCTCCTCTTCTGAATGCATGTTTTCCTAATGCAGATTTATTTGTTTGTCTCAATCTTCCATTCTCTTCGGTACTCCTTCATCCTGATACCCATGAACCTCTTTATGGTCGCACGTATAGTTTACCACATGAACATAATGTTCGATATAGTCCCACAGCAAGAGTAGTTCCATATAATTTGCTAGAAAATCCCTTATCTTTCTTGTTGATTTGAAGATTGTTTTTATTTTGTGTTCACCCAAAATTTTGATTGTTTTTGAGTGGGATGATGATTGGAAAGGGCATGAAGAAATCAGTCCAAGTTAGTTTGTTTTTGGTATACCATGTGGATCATAGGGCTACAGATACAGATACAGATAATTTATTCATCATTGAAGTTTTTTACACAATGGTACAAAACTTATCAGACTAGTCAAAATATATTATAGTATTACAACTTATAAAAACATTATAGAGCTCACAAGAAAATATGAAAAACTCACAGACAGTGCATCAAACAGTGAGGTACTCCTCTATTGTATAAAGAGTATTTTCATTAAGGTAATTGAATAATTTGTTTTGAAGGTATTAAAATTTTTTATCTCACCAAAGATCCTATTGAAACGGTTATAACATAGAATTCCTTGGTATTTTGGAGAATTCTGTTCCACACTAAGCCTAGAGAATGGTAGGCGAATATCATTTTTATTCCGTGTTTGGTGTTGGTGAATTTCACTACTTTTCATGTAGGTATCTTGCTCTTTTTTAATATTCATAATTAGAAGATAAATATAAAGTGATGGTAAAGTTAGAATTGACAGTGACTTGAAATAAGCTTTACAAGATACATTATTTCGAACTCCCATCATGCATCTTATGATTTTCTTCTGAGCAATGAATACTTTATCAATATGTGTTGAATTACCCCAGAAGATCAAGCCATATGTGAGTGCCGACGACACTAGACCATGATATGCCATTCCGAGAACCTCTATAGATACAGTGTCCTTCAGTTGTCTGATAATAAAATTGATACTATTCAATTTCCCTACCAGATTTTCGATATGAGTTCTCCATGTCAGTTTCTCATCAATTGTTACACCCAAAAATTTTATGTTTGATACTTGCTCAATTGACTTATGATTTATTTTAACAAGAGGGCTTGCGTCACTGCTGATATTTTTTTGTCGAAAAATCAGGAAGAATGTTTTGGAAGCATTTAAAATCAATCCATTATTCAGGCACCATTGAAAGAATTCCTCAGCGCATGCATTGCTCAGATGAATGCTTTTGTCCAGATTATCTTGTGATATCATATGATTTGTATCGTCGGCATAAATTATGGTTTTTTGCGGAGCACCACCTGATAAAATCATGTCATTATTAAATATGATAAAAAGCAGTGGACCAAGTATTGAGCCTTGTGGTACACCCATAGAAACATTGGTTGACTTTGATTTGAATGAATTCATCATGACAATCTGACTTCTATTTTGTAAATAGGAAGAAACCCATCTATTCGCTACTCCACGAACTCCAATACGGTTTAATTTTTGAAATAGAAGCTCATGATTAACAGTATCGAATGCTCTACTGAGATCAAAATATAGTGCAATAGGATATTCCTTAGTATTCAAGCTAGAATAAATCATATTACATAATTCGTTCATAGCTGATTCTGTAGATTTTCCAGCCCGAAATCCATGTTGACATCCTTTCAATAAATTATCATTTTCCAAGAAATTTCTTAGACGGAAATTGAAGCAATAATCGATTATTTTTGCTAGTTGACTTTGTAAGCATACATTCCTGTAGTTGTTGATGTCTTCCTTGGAACCTTTCCTCTTATATATCGGTACTGACTTTGAAACTTTCAGTTTTTCAGGATATTTTCCTGTACTGAATGATTCATTGATTATGTGACACAAAGGATAACATACTGCGTCACTAACAGCTCTCAAGCACTTACCATTTATCTCATCAATTCCAGCGGCTTCTTTAGAACACACTTTATGTATTGTCTCTTTTATCTCAAGTGGAGTTGTTGGAGTCATGAAGAAAGTAATGCTTGAGAAAAGTTCTAATTTTACCTTATTGAAATTGGGGTCAATACTTTGTATATTCATAAAAACTTTCAAAAATTCGTCCCATATTACGGTGATCTGACTGTCTATAACAATTTTACTAATCTTTCTTACTAAGACATTCAAGAAAGCTATTTCCCCACTTTGTTTCCTTCTCCATGGTGAACCGATTACTGGAATCAAGTGCATTCAGTTACTCTCAAAAGTGGTTCAGGTTGTTTCTTCCATGTTTCCAGACCACTTATGTGTCATTGACATATGTGATTCATGTCAAAGATTTGTAGGCATATGATGCTAATGCTTTCTTCTCAAATTCTTCCACGAAAAGGTTTACTATCACTGTGGATACTACCAATTGAAAAGTTGAGTAGGTATTTTATTCTCACTGCTCTAATAACTCATCCTAATATTTTAATTCAGTTTTTAGAATGTTCAACAATTTCAACATCTTATTCAATTTAATTTACTTTGGTCTACCATAGATTTCAAATCTGTTAACAATTTTCCAAACTTGTAACATTAACCAAGAAACATTGTCAAGCACATTCAAACAAACGTAAGATAACTAAAATGCAAAATCTAAGGTAAATAGTCTAAAAAAATGTATAGTGATGATATACAAATCACCATCCCAATTTGTCATCAGATCCCATTTTAGGTGGAATGTTCAGTAATGTTTTCAACAATGTACAAGTTGCACCTAATTAAATTATTAAAATAATGGAATAATGGTAGTGAATTATTGAATTAGGATTTTTTAAATTTTAGATCCAAATTATATTATCATCATTTCATATTTTTTACAGGAACCCTCATTCCATATGAGCATAGCCTGGTGTCTGGGAGATCATAAGAATGTTTTGAATTATATACTACCAGAATTGAATTTCAGGCTACCAAATGAGGGAATCGCTAATCCAAGAAGTTGGACAGTTCCAGTGGATTACTTCGTATGTAAGACGGGAAATAAATATTTTAAGTTTGACTTGTCTGATTCGTAGTTTATGTTATATGTGCCTTTAGGATCAATTATATTCAACTTTCAATATTTTCAGTAGTTTTGTTATGTTCTCTAACATTTCATAATAATTATAATGAAAACTTATATTCAGAGACAATTTATAAATTGTATAGGAAATGTAATACATACACAAGGCCGTAGCCAGAAAATGATTTCGGGGGTTTTGGTTTGGTGGAACAGTAGAAAAACATGAAATATAAAAATAGCGAAAGAAAGAAAATTGTGTTACATCATCATATATATTTATTAGAAAACCATTACAGAAATATTAACATCTTTTTACAAAATCAATCCTAGTTTTCTAGCTTTCTTTGCAGCAAACCAATCAATTACCTCCTCGGTGTCAATGTCAATTCTACGGTGGATTGATATTAACGTCAAACCGTTTAGTCGTTCCTGGCTTGTGGAGTTTCTTTAATAAGTTTTGAGGCGTTTTAGAGAAAAGAAAGTCCTTTCAGGGGTACATGTTGAAAAAGGTAGTGTCGCCAAGATCTTTGAAAGTTAGAATGCACATTGCGGTAAGGTTTTTCCATTGTGTTTCTTAGAAGTTATTTTCAATATTCTCTTTCAAGCATTTGGTTCGTTTTGCCAAAGATTTGATAAAACTTCTAACGGATTTTATAATTCCAATAGTATCTGTATCGTAGGGAGGGTGAGTGTAGACCCACAGCACTTAGGCCACATGTGACCCATTGTATGTCCTCCCCAGGAGTTGTTCTCCTAGGTCATCGTCCATCCTGTCCTTTCTAGAAAGGTGGACAGGTCATTAGGAGACATCTCCTTTATATCGGCACAGACTCTCTTATTGACGATAACACCGGACACTCGCATAGAACATGCTTGATAGTTTCACCTTCCTGTTCACACATCCTGCATAGAGGTGTGTGCACTAGCCCCATATATTGAGGTGTTTTCTTAGTTGACAGTGGCCAGTCAGAAATCCTACTGTTAAGCGTAGATTTTTTCTGGTCATAGGAGATATTTCTTCGGCGCCAGCTTCCCATGGTCGGCCAGGGTGATCCTGACAAGATTGCATTCTTTGATTTCATCCGATCTCACTAGGGATTGACCATGGGTGTAATGTTTGGCTAGTTCAGCAATTGTCGAAGTCATCAGGGCGTAGGTGCTACTGGGTCCTAAAATTCTTAGTCCAACCTCTTCCTTGGCTAAAGAGTCGGTGATGCGATTTCATTGAAAATAAAGTTTGTGAAGATCAGATCGTAAAGTGTAGTTTATGAAATTTCTATGGATCTTCATCAAGTAACAGTCGAATCAATCAGAAAAAAAAATACTGATATTTCAGAAATTATTTTGAAATGAAGAGCTTTGGAATATTTTAGATTTTATTAAAACTAAAAAAATATGCAAAAAAAATCAGTATTCGAACCTGGTAACAAAATTAAAACAAAGCTACTAATGTGTCATGAAATCAACTCATGAAATCATTATTTACAAAGAATAATCTATCCTAAATAAATTAGTACAATATACAATTAATCTGTACATTATTCTAGACAGTATTAAATATGGTAATATATTGCACTTTTCGTAATAAAACCTCGGACAAGGCATAAATTTGATCTAATTTCATTAAAAATAAGGAATTTTTTACATTAGTAAGATTTTAGCACAACAGCCTAGTATGGTGATGAAAATTTCATAAAAAATACTGACCTTCAAACTTTGACTCCTCTTCAAAAAATCTCGAATTGTCTATTGAACTAAATTTAAAAGCAGTCAAAGTTGAAGGCCGTATCTCAGCTGTTCTGATTTTGGTATTGGATTTGAGAAGGAGAGGTAGCATATTCCATTCCAAACGAATGATCCATTTGCAACTGACTGTCTTGGTTCAAGTCAACGTTGTCAGGATCATACTTGATTCCGCGTTTGAATCGTCCATATAAAGATGAATAAGGCAGGTTGTAGTGGATAGCTGCTTGATTGATTGACATATGCCCTAACCTGCAACAAAGAAATGGGTAAGTAAGTTGCAATTTCATGAATGGTCCAATTTCCTTCATGAATGTCCAAAACAGTGGAAAATGGAGGGAGTAGTTATTGCAAACGAACTCTTTCTTACCTCGTATCTAAAGAGAATATCTCTGGGAGATTTACATATTTTCCTAAATAATTCTCATATGTTTTTTGAATACTATATTTTGAAGAATAACTGGAGAAAAAAAAAAGGTTTTTAAATAGATAAATTTTAATTCTATCTGATAGCAAAATGAAATACGACTCACTATTAGTTACTTTCAACTAGAATGCTTTTGTAATTGAATGCGTTAGTCGGAATTACATCTGATTCATTGTATGGTGGATTGAGGCAGGTTTCCCAATGTAGTGATATAAAAAAAAACTGAACTAAACTAAATTGTATGATTTTCACTTTAAATCATAGTGAAAATCATACAATAAACTGTATTGATTAGTTTTTTAATATGGATTTACATCAAGTATCGGCCAGTTCTATTCAATTATTCAAGTAGTGATTTCAGTTGAGTCCTTATCAGCCAATGGAATGTCTTGGTCCAACACTGGACTCTGACTCAGCTGATTATAATTGTAAAACTTGACAAAGTGCTGAGATTAGTGTTGATATTTTAATAATCTTAGTCCAAAGTAAACTGATGCTATGTAATTGAACTGTTGATGTTTCTCAGATATTTAAAAAAATTGTAAATTATTCCAACTTCTTTTCTCTGATTAACAGGATGCATCCAAAAACAACTTTTTCCTATAATCTCTTGGAGAAAATACATGATCCGCTACAAAATAATTTTATTACAATTCATTATATGTTTGTATGACAATGACAACTGATTTGAAAGTCCCAACAACAAAGAAAACGTGTAATGTGGGAAAAAAATGTCACGGTAAAAATCCCTACTAACTTATGACTTGAAACGAATCTATACCCTCTTTCTAGTCTCTCGTCATATTACTTTCCCTCCCGTTCAATGTTAGCACTGATTAGCACAACATCGTTCTCATCAGCTTTGTTCTTGTGTACTTTATAAAACAATTCAAACATGGAGATGAAACTTTTTTCGAATTTGTTAGCCTTGGTCATCAGATTTGTAAGTCTGACGTTTCGTCTAGAAGTGCGGTAGACATTATTAAAAGTGAGACAGAATTAGTATTCAACTTGTCCTTACAGCAAATACTGAAAATAAAGCTTCCAAGGATGGAACATAGTAATTTATCAAGACAGACTCAAACCAACACTTTTCAATGTTGTTGAATGTGAGATGGAATTTTTCAAATCAACATGTTTCATCCCCACAAGACATTTTTTTCATAACACTGCAAAGAAATTCATTACTGAATGAAAATTTATTGCTCAACTAAAAAAGATTTAAAAAATGTTTATTCAGAATTGCACTAAGTTTAAAATATTTATGGCTTTGCAATTTTTTTTGTGAATTTTGTGAACTCTGCATGGAATGAAGTCAATAGTCAATTAGTTTTATGATGAATGTGCTTCTTCGAATAAATTCTGCTATTCTGGAGATATTTTAGGATAAAGTGAGGTTCTTGCACTCGTGTTTTGCTTTTAATGAGACTTCAGTATTGGTAATGAATTGAACATTTTGTATATAGTTGTATATAGTCAAAAAGGTACATGAAATGTTTCATAAATTGCAGTCAACTTTTCAAAGTTGGTATTTATTAATAAAGACATCCACTAGTCCATCACAGTTCTCATACATATAAACATTATTAGTCATGATTTTGTCTATCAAATAGTTAATTCTTAATATTCCTCTTACCTAACAGCTTCCAGTGCTTCTCCCATGGCATCCTCGGACCATGGTGTCGGGTTCGACCTTGATAACTCGATTCCCTCCCTCTTGCATCTTCCATAAAGAGTACCTGTAGGTATACCAAATTCTGTAGAGGCTTTTTGTACTGAGGTTTGGCCGGTTCTGATTGATTCTAAAGCTTTCTCTAAATCTTCAGGCGTCCACGTTGTTGGTGCTGCATTGAATGGTGCTGCCAGTCTTATTCCTTCTCTTCTCGCTATTTTATACAATGTGCTACTGGGAATACCTAGGGAGAAAATCAAAATTTTAGTGAAATAAATACTTAAAAAAAATGTTTCAATTCAATTCAAATATACTTTATTGTCCGAAGAATAAATTCTTATTGACAAAGCCTTGTGTTATATTTTTTGCTCAATTTTTTTTAAAAATGTTTCGAGAACACACCTTTCTTCATGAAACTGATTACTCGTCTGAGGGGTGATTTTTTTTGCAACTGCACTTTGTTTTTATACTAGATGTCCAAATTCGCCATCATTTGGTGGTAATGATATAAATAAAAGATGTGAGAAGTTGAAAATCAAGTAATATTGAACAACGTACAACAACTGTTAATTTTGTATTGGTATACAAGCATATCATACCGACATTCTACAGTTTACGAATAACTTTTATTGTGAAAATCTGGCATTATTTCAAATGTTGAAATACTCTTACTTCATTATATGCTACACTGATATTGTCTTATTTTTCAATAAAAACATGTGTTGTGATACAGTTCAATCCTATTGATTTATTGAAATGTATAGTCAAACTAGACAATTATGTTTTGTTTATTAAAATTACTCACCATATGCTTTACTAGCCTTATTAGCCGATATTGTACCAGTACGCAAAGCTTCAAGTGCGTTGTTGAGATTTTCTTCTGTCCATGATTTTGTGGGCCCCTCTTTTTTTGGTGTGTCTATTCCTAATCTGTGTGCCCTTTGCCATAATGTAGTGGAGGGAATACCATAAGTTGCAGAAGCCTATATAGTTGAATAAGCTGTTAAAATAACTCAGTGGAATTAATTTTTTATTTCGTACCTTGGTAAGGCTCATATTGTGATTTCTTAAGGCATCTAAAGCCATGTCCATATCTTCCTGAGTCCACGTTTTCGGTCCCCCACCTGTATGCGACCGCTGCGTATTTTCGGAATGGCCATTAGTTTTAATTCCAGGTACTTGGTCTTCACTACTATTTACATCTGTGAATAAAAATATAGTTGAAATATATAAATACGTCTATTGGAGGGATCAATAATTTTTTTTTGTAAATTCAGAGTACTTTTCAAAATTGCACAACAAAGGCACTTCGTATAATTTTGTAGATGAAGTCAGAACAATCGTCTTAACCATCTGGCCAAGTACAGAGAAATAACTTTAAAATCACCCCAAAGTGACATGAATCACTAAACTATAATTATAGTTATGTTTTTAGATTGAAGTTCATAAAGATTATAAATATATGGTATCTTAAAGACCTAAACCTAGATAGGGTAGAAGGAGTCGCTATTATGTCATAATTTGTGAAGTAATCACAAACAGGGACAGAAAATGTGGTCCAGCCTCTTTGATAGCTTATCATTATGGGTTCATTGTTGAGGTACCCGTTGAAGTGTGAAAAGTTAGACACTATATAGTTTCAAGGAGGAAAAGTCCGAGACCTCATCAGGTTGTGTTGAAAAAGTTCAGAAGGCTATTTAATCAATTATGGTAGAACAAGCACTTTCTAGAATGTTAGTCTGCCGTAATCATGGATATTAATGAACAAGGGGGGACGGTAGCCTGGTGGATTGGCGTGGGTGGTTTGTTTCATTCATTCAATCGACCGCTGTGTGAACCGGTGGTTCGAACCGCAAGGCCGGACGATCGATATTCATTTCCTATCGTCCCACCCGTGTTAGGAATAACACGTTAAAAGGTAAGACGTCGTTGGTCCTTAGCTCACACAAGTTTCGACTTTTGAGAGTTGTCGTTCGTAGGGGAGCGACAGCTGGTTAACGGAAAAACATATTTTTTTAACAGATTAGAAAATAAATTTTATTTCGATCAAGCCGCTGCTGATATTTTTGCAACTAATTTATAACTGACAGGTATCTGTTGATTTTTCATTATTAGATCACGAGGTTTCATTGGAAATCATTAGAGATATTCTTTTGAGGGATACAGAAATTTTAAGTCACCAGCAGGTATCAGCAGAAGTATCAAGAATAAGAAATAATGAGTACATAGTTATTTTTCGAGTTGTTTCAAAACAGTACAACTGAACGGTATAAATTCAAAAGGTATGAAAGATGTAACAATTTCAATAGAGACGTGACGTGGTTATGTAGTTTTGAAAGTTTTAGAATATGTGAGGGGCATAGAAAAGGTTTCACAATAAAAAAAACAAGTTATCCGAAAAGAAATGCTGGAGAATTATTTTCAAAGTTGTCTGAGCTTTGAGAATCTAGAACAAACATAGCTGACATATGAACATTAAAACTTGAATGAGTCATCAAATATATTAGAGCTTATTTTGAAATCTCAAAACTATTTCACTTATATTTATATAACAAAAAGCTTGGAGGGAAACTACCGTGGAATTTCTACTGAAGACTGAAAGATGCTACATCGACTAACTCAAATAATCGCGAGCAAGTGAAAACCTAAATAACTACGAGGAACTTGAGATGGGCATCGGTACCAGTTACAGAATCCTCTATCTGCTGAGGTACAACCATCGAATAAATCAAATGGAATGGTGAGAATTTATCACTACAGAAGTATCGTCATCAAAATTGTGCATGTTCTCAGAGAATGTTCAGCAGTATTTTTCTGTTCCTTGATAGGTAAGAATGAAATCGATGATTTGAAAGATTTTTACTTCCTCCCAATAGGCATGGGCAAAGGCTTATACTGTTACTTCAGAGTGAATGTGTCAAACGTTTTGTCAATTGAACTCTTGGATAAATTACCTTGTGATCACTTATCATATTACATTTTTATGGTTACTACTTCACTGACGATTATTTATTTATTTTTTATTTATTTATTCAGTATAAACGGGAAACCCGTTTTACAATGATTGAATACAAAATTATATAGTTAATACCCTACACAGTAAAAACCAACTAAAACTGATATACAGGGTGTAACTAAATAAGTGTAAAACATTTAAGGAGGTGATTCCTCATCGAAAAAAGATAGGATCTTTTATAAAAAGAAATTTCATTGGAGTATCCCTTGTTAAGATACAGCCTCTTAAAGGGGGTACATAAAATTTTTATAACAATTTTTTTGACAAGCACTGAAAAAGTTACAATATTGAAATTAACCTGTACTACTAAAAAGACACTTAGCCAGAAATTTATTTGGTTTACCCCATGGCTGTGAGGGGTGGAAAACGCAACTCCTAAAATTTATTTCCAATGTAACTTTTTGTCTTATTATTTGTTTACCATTTAAAAATGTATTTCCGATAGCCTGTTTCATTCTAAACAAAAAATGTCTTCTGGGTTTTTTGCCCAAAATGGACCAGTTCGCAGCAAAAAATTATTTAACGAACAACTATAGAGATACATCGTTCACATAGAATATTTGCTCGACTTCATCAACGATTACGAGAATATGGTTCATTCGTCAACAGAACGCAGGATTGTGGTCGCCATCGAGAAGTACGAACACCACAGCTTGAGGAAGCAGTACTTAATTTGATTGAAGAACAACCTACTACCAGTACTAGAAAGATTGATTTCCAGCTAAATGTTGATCATATGACGGTAATTCGATTTTTAAAGGAACAACTCTTATACCCTTACCATCTGCAACGAGTACAGGCACTGTACACTGTACCAATTTTGCAATTGGATGCTGGAAATGATTAGAAGAAATTGTGACTTTCTGAAGACGATATAATTCACAGACGAATGTAGTTTTTCTCGGGACAAAATTATTAATTTTCATAATTACCACATATGGGCTGATGAAAACCTTCACGCTATTGTCGAAACTATCCATCAAGTTTTCTCTTAACGTGTGGCTCGGAGTTATTGGGGATGATTTAATTGGGCCTCATTTTCTACCTCCTCGATTAAATGGTGAGGCATACGTTCAATTTTTAAGAGAAGTGCATTTAGTTCTGTTGTAGGAAGTTCCTTTGGGCGTCAGAAGGGATATGTTTTTTTTGCATGATGGGGCTCCCGCCCATTTTAGTCAAGAACCACGTCAGCATTTAACTGAAACATATGCAAATCAGTGGATAGGTCGAGGAGGACCACAGAACTGGCCAGATCGATCCCCGGAGGACTTAAGAAACCGCATCATCGATGCGTGCAGGGTAATCAGAGATACTCCAGGAATATTTGAGCAAATACGTGGCTCAATGCGCTGACGTTTAGACGCATGCGTAATGTCTGAAGGTAGACATATTGAACATTTACTATGATTTCTACATGTTGAGTATTTTGTTATTAATAAATTAGTTTTGTTTATTACCCTTCAATGGTTTAATGCAGGTACTAACTAAAAAATAACAATGAATCCAGTTCGCATTTATGACGATGTATCTCTCTGTAGTTGTTCGTAAAATAATTTTTTGCTGCGAACTGGTTTATTTTGGGCAAAAAACCCAAAAGACATTTTTTGTTTAGAATGAAACAGGCTATCGAAAGGTAAACAAATAGTAAGACAAAAAGTTACATTGGAAATAAATTTTAGGGGTTGCGTTTTTCACCCCTTACAACCATGGGGTAAACCAAATGAATTACTGGCTAAGTGTCTTTTTGGTAGTACAAAACGTCAGGTTAATTTCAATATAGTAACTTTTTCAGTGCTTGTCAAAAAAATTGTTATACATATTTTATGTACCCCCTTTAAGGGGCTGTATCTTAACAAGGGACGCTTCAATGAAATTTCTTTATATGAAAGATCCTATCTTTTTTTCGATGAGGAATCACCTCCTTAAATGCTAAACTAAACACTTTCACCCAAATTGTCCTTGTATAACCTATCAAGATTCTCAAACTATTTTGTAAAATGGTGAAATATAATCAAAGCTGACTAAGTTTTTTTTTAAGTTTTTTGAAATCCTGCAGAATTCCATTGAATTCAGTTCTCTACGTAACAGTTTTGAGTTTCAAAAAAAGAGAATTGAAAATTACGGTGCATGGGCATTTGCAGCGCAAAGTACAATAGATCTTATATAGTTAGCAGCAGATGTTCTGATTGAATAAGCAAAACTAGTCTTGACCATACATTCTAGCTTATACGTTAATATTAAGGGAGCCAGCTCAGTATCTAAACTATGGCAAAAGTTGAAATCAATTTTTGAATACGGGGGCTTTACAGGAAATATTATTTTGATGTATATCAGGGACAGACAATTTTGTTAGAATGTTGGTAGGGTTGCGTAATCAATTTTTGTCAATAATTAGGGCCATCGAGTAATCTGGCATAGGGTTAACAACAGATATCATCAAAACCAAGTTCCTTGACAAGCAATGTGACATTAAAGACGGCTTTGCATATTTCTCAAAAAGAGAGATCAAGAAAGTTAGTAACAAAGACCAATAAGGACAACATGAACTGACAATGTTTAGATATTTTTAAGTTGTGCTTACAGAAAACGGACTGGTACATTGACAGTGGTAAAAATCCATAGCATATTCAAGTAACACTGTATTCTTCCTCATATGTGAGATTTACACTGAATACTTTACAAAACCACAACACGTGTTTCATTTCATAATAGCTTCCTCAGGCGTGTAGGTACGGTATGGGGTTTTGTAAACTATTTAGTGAAAATCTTACGACAAACTATTACTTGAATTTGATAGATCTGACAGAAAATATTCGAGATATCTAAAGGATTCTGAAATCTCTGTCCAAAGTATAAAACACAATAATTTGAGTAAGATATCCTGTCCATAGAAAGTCATGTATGGGATTTTGTTTTGAAACAAAATATTGAATCTAAAGTGACTTGTTCTATAAACAATACATACCTAATCTATTGGAAACTCCAGCTAACATCCCTCCGAAATCACCTTGTCCCATCACTCCTTGGTGCATGCTTCTATCACCATCCTCATGACTATCCATCGAATGGTCCGGACCAGACATATGAGACTCCATATCCAGCAAACTGTCTTGATCATAGGACCGTAAAGTTTCGAACTTGATGTCAGCCTCTTTCTTGATGTCCAACGTGTACTTGGTGGAATCGGAAATGTCTATTCGATGGATCGGAGTGGTGAGTAGGGTTCGAGTGGGTGAATGTTCAACGTTGGACATATCCATATGACCAACGGGGATGGCTGAAGGAGCGGGAGGTTCTGGCGGGAAATCATCGGTGTCCACTCCAAACTGGGAGAAGATTGTCTGAATATAGGAGAATTCGAAGAGTTAGTTTATTAGTAGGATTCGTTACAAAACGTTCAACAGGCTTGTACAATTACTATTTAGTTATTTTATATTTTGAAAAAAATTGTGAACTGTTTGGATTGAAAAATATCACGAAATGAGGAAAAAATAGATGAAGTGGTTGAAATTTCTGTCCCCCTTCCTAATATATTTCATGTGCGAGGTGTCAAATGAAAATTTGGCTAGCAATCATGGAATATGAGGATGCACCTATTTGAAAGATGGTCGTGGTTAAGGCCAGACGATGTCAACCAAATGGTTACTGGGTCAGTAATGTTGACTCCGCGATCTTCTAAGGAGTTTCACTTTCTTACCTGTCCGGAGAGGAGGCCATGGCTGCTCATGTTTAGAGGTTTCGTCTGCTCCGGCGGGTTTGGCCTTTTTCGTTTGCGTTCATCCAAAGCTACTGGCATATCATTTTCTTCGTTTTCCGTCGATTGGTCCTCTGTGTCGTCTTCTTTATCTTCAGGTTCAGCTTCATTCGTGGCAGAAGGTGTTTCTTGTCGCGAAGCCGGTCTTTTGTTGTTAACTGAAGGATTATTGTCTTGTAACTGAAAATATACAATTTGTGAAAAAACTGCCCGACAAATCTTCATATTAAATTTTTATTCGTTCACGAAAAGTTGAGGTTGTTGAAGTAATACTCAATTCATAAAATCTTTTTTCATTAAATAAAGTTTAATTTTTAATAATGCTGAATATTGTTATCCCTTGCTCAAATTTCTTCCAGGTTTATAATTAAAATTTCAACCTTGTTGTCGGTCACTAATTGGCTGCTAATGTTGGAACCTTAAAACAGAAGGACGACACAAGTGCGACTTCGTTAGCAGATCAATATATTGAATGTCTGGACTTTCCTACTAGAACGTTGATGGAAAGAAATAGGATGATGACAATGGTCATGCCTGGTTGAAATCAGCCTTGTTTCAACAAACGATTTAAGAGCACTATTAGGAAAGTCACGATTACAAAAGCTTTTTCAAGTCATAAATGGAATATTGGCATTTCAGTGATAATGCATGCTTCTGATACAATTATGAATATTATTACAAAATGCTGACTCAATCATTGTAGATGCCAAGAGTAGAAGGAGTTACAAAACAAGTGACGGTGAATATCATACTTTTCACATGAAGAAATATATTTTCCATGTTGGGCCATGGAATTCAGTGTACTACATATTTTTATGCCGTCTATTCTATTTTCATTCTATGGAAACGTAGAAGTTCTAGGTGGAAAACCAACGGAACGAATGGTGCTATTGTTAGAAATATCCTTCAACATTCAATAAAAGACAGAATTTAATGACAAATGAAAATTCAACTCCTGAGAAGGACCAGTAACCAACAGGATTTTGAGCCGCAAAAATATTAGCTACCCCTACTTCAGTTGAACAATTGAGGATGGCTGAAACAATTCAAATTACTGCTGAGTAGTTTATATGCTGTGGAAGCTAAGGCAATAATATGCACGTGAAAATGTCGATATTATGCGTAAGCATCTTCCCTTGCGATGACGTATAACAACGCCATGTTGCTGTTTTGAACTGCTATAGAACTCACCAGAGGTCTAAGTTGAACGATGAATGCATTATTGAACTCAACTGAAACTCCAACTTTCGAACAAAGGACATTAACTTTATGACTGCCAAAATAGAATCCTCAATTTTTCATATATATTATAATTGCTTCACGTAGTAATTGGTTAAATACTGTAAGAATCCTCAGATTTTCAAACAACATATATTCATTGGTTTCTACACGCTTTAAGATATCTCTAGGTATAACTGGTAGTGCATAATTTGTTACATGAAGTCAAAATTCCAAGTTAAAACTTGGAATTATGAGGTTAAATAAATTCCAACAATGAATTGAAGTAGTATTACCATTCAACGCTTTCGTATGAAGGAGCCTGCTTCTTTTCAGAATATTGTATGTTCATTATATTTATAATTATATCAATGAAAACGAAAGTTTATATTCACATATAGATTTATAAAAAATTGTACTCACCTTGAATTGTGTTGACGTCGGTGAATTCTTGTCACCCTTAGTACTGAGAGCAGCCAGAGGTAATTCGGAATATTCTTTGTCGTCGGGCGATTCACACAAGCCTTTGATCTTTAATTGGTCCGCAGTTCGTAGCAGAGACTGCAAAATATCGAGGAAAATTTTAATACAGAAGGGTGCAATTAGCCTTTTTTCTATTACTTCGTGTTGTGGGCTCCAAAGCAACTTAATCAGTTTTACTGTACATTTTATAACACCTTCAAAAAGATTTCCTTTGAAAGAGGGCAACAGCGTCGTGAAATCAAAGGTGAAACTTAATTCGCATTTTCAATTCAATTCAAAACCAAGTCAGCAAACCAGGAAATTTAATTGATAGTGTTTTTGTACTATGAAAATAGTTCAGAATAATAATAGAAGGGGAAGTAACCAAGTTAATTGACGAATATAGAACATTTAAAACAGTCTAGTAGTACAGATAAGGTACGATTTGTCGATTTTGGTACTTTTTTGTTTATTCAATCGGGCACAACAGAACTATCCTAAATATGTGATTCCTGCTATTCTGATATTACTGATAATTCCTTCATTCAAGTATTGCACAACTTGACTTCAGATAAGGAAAAATTGTTCTGGAAACACGTGTATATATGGTTGCTATCTCTATTTTTCTTTTGATTCATATTAAGATACACGCATAACAATTTTTGACTAATTCATATGGATATTTAAAAAAAACAGAGTGAAATTTTGTTTTCCGACTGGAATGAGAATTAGTATGGAACTGTCATCTCTATTGCATCTCTATTGATGCGTAAATATTTACTTTTTTTCACCGTAAAAAGAAATAGTTCTTTTCACTGACAAAATAATTCACAAAATGAACATGAAATATTACTTTTTGAAGGATTCATTTTTAACTAAAACAATTTCAATTTCGGTGATCTTTTTGGCCAATAATCTTTTCAATCTCGTCGTATCACTTTGCCCAAAATATCTGACTGAAACACTGTTTCATTTCTATCGTTTGGTGGAATCGGTGCCTGTCAAAGTGATACCACAAATTTCGTCCAACATTTAGAGGCAGACTATCCAAAACTTCATAAAACTGATTCATAATGAAATTTCTGTACATGTCTGCGTTCAAATTTTTTCTAAAAAGTATGGGCCAATTATTTGGTTATACCCCCACCACACTTCAGTCTTCTATGAATATTGGTCACGGCTTTCTATTACAAAATTTGGATTCTTGTTGGACCACCAGCGACAATTTTTTTTAGCTAACTGTTCCGTTCAACGTGAAAGTTGCGTCGTCTGTGCATCAAATCCTGCATGACTGTAGGAGAATGCGATATCATTATCTCTCTCTCTCTCACCTTGGAACCAAAATCAAAATCCTACTCAAATATCGAAAACTCTTTCTTTAAGAGTGTGTATGAACTTTGGCTTACAGGGATGGAATTCATTTTTGTGCAAAATTCTTCTCACAGTTTTTCTGCCAACCCCTGTATCTTCACTAATACTCCTAATATTAGTTTTTCCGTTTTCAACAACGCTCAAACAAACATTGAGTTGTTCTTCCTCATTAAACTTTATTGGATTACGTGGTTTCTTGAAACGATAGTCCACTAATAGCTAGTTTCTTTGAATGTTTTCACTGTCATTCCCACGGTACCTACTGAAGTGAATATTTCTTCCTGGATGCCAGTGATTAAAAAACAAGCAACATCTTGATATGGCACACTTCACCACATAAAAGAACGATTTCCACTTTGTTTTGTGTGGATAACATTGTACATGAAACATTGTATATGCATCCTGTTTGCATCGGCAGTCATATTCCTTATATGTGTTGTAAATGTTAATTTACTATCGTATGTTATACCAAGATATTTTATCTCGTGTACGCGGTTGATTGTAGTATTGTTGATTGAATAATCGTACATTAAAGTTCGCTTTTTTGTTGTGAATGATATTATTTTACATTTGGATACGTACAGTTGTAGGCGATTTACACCAAAGTTTGATTACATCTAATTCATGTACCTACACGTTGGCAGTCAGTAATGTCGTCGATTTCATAATATAGTTTCAGGTTATCTGCAAATAGTAGGCTAGGAATATTCAAAGAGGTTGCCAAGTCATTAATAAAAATAAAAAATAAAAGAGGTCTAAGATTTGAACCTTGTGGTACCCCAGATGTAACACGTACTGAGCCGATTTGAAAGATTCATATTCGACGAATTGTTTTCTGTTGACTAGATATGATTCAATGAGAGTAAGCAGTTGGTTAGAGAGTCCCAATTTTGTCAGTTTGCTAAGAAGAACATAATGGTCTATTTGATCGAAGGCTTTTTGAAAGTCTAAATAAACAACATCGACTTTTTTTTGCTTTGTCCAGGTACGTACACATATATTGGTTCAAACATGCAAGATTTGTCATACATGATCTTTGTTATTCGAAATCATGCCGAGTAGGAGAAATAACTTTTTGAATATGGGAGTATTTACATAACATTTTGCACACATATCTCGAAGAATTCAGAAAAGTCATATAAAATTGAAACTGCCCTGTAGTTTGTGATGTCGATAGAGTCGCCTTTTTTTAATATCGGATAAATTCGAGCCGTTTTCCACTGCTCAGAGAAGGCACAAGTTGTTAAAATTAAGTTGAATATACCTATTAGAGGTATGAGGTATGATGAAACCAGTATAAGTAACAAAAATGGAAAGTGTTAATGAGGAAATAATAATTTTGGGGTGTCAACGGTATTGACTATATTGGTCATTAGCCTCTTGTTCTGTGTAGGCAATGTTAATAACTCCCCAAGTCACCTAGGGAGCATTATAGCAATTTACAGTCAGTCTGCCATGTAGCGTTGCAAAATCATCCCAAATTCAACTAGATAAATTCTCTGAAAAAAATATCTGGAGAGGTTGGGACCTTTCAATCTTGAGTCGAACGCACTACCACTGCGCCAATTCACTGCTACGAAATAAATTATTACAGGCAATGGAAATTGCACTTGACTACCACTGAATAAATAATTTTGTGAAATTTGGAAAATAAGCACGTGGGTGAAAAAGCTGTATAACTTGTCTTAAGCCGGATCTACGAAAAAAAAATGTATTTACGTTTCTCCCGCCAAGTCGTCATCGTCGGTATTTATAACAATAACACGGAGCTAAGATTTTTACAAATTTTGTGTTTGTCGCATTCTAAATTTTCATTGCGTTAAGGATTTAACTGTTAGGGATCAGTGAGTCGTTTACCATCAGTAATTACGTACTTAAAATTATTAAAGAGGATTACTCCATTAGAATTTTGGAACTTATGACACTGAAATTATAATTTTTATGCCACACTTTCTCAAAGTATCTAGAGGTCAACTAACATTATACCAATGTTCCCGACATTAGTTTAACAATTACATTTGAAAAATCACTATTACTACATGGTATAAAACAAAGTCGCTTTCCACTGTCTGTCCCTATGTATTGTAACGAATCTGAAGCCGTCCCTGACTGATATGCCGGCCGACTCATCGAACAAACACATGACCTCACCGCGAAAGAATGCAACTGCCGGTAAAAATCTAGTCGAGAACCGAAGCGACTACAGAATTCTAGAAAGGACCTTTACCGATATAAGCCCGTCTTACCGACCCAAGAGGGCAGTTCAGAAAGTGAATCTAGCGGCTAAACAAGAAATTCAAATAGTGGAAATAAATTAAGCGTTAGTGGCTAAGTCTTGTAATAAATGAATTAGTTTGTGATTAGATTAGTGAAATATTGTTGGAAATAAATTTGTTTAAGACAGTTAATTCATTAATTTGTCACAGTATGCTTAGATCTTTAAAACTATGCAACGGATTTTGATGCAGGTTTTTTTTAATATATAGAGTGATTCAAGAGGAAGGTTTATATGTATATAACATGCCTAACCTAGTAGAGAAACACTGATAATTATAAAGGTTTCTAATGTGATGTCGTAAATAAATACATTTTTGCGCTTACATTGCAACCCTACCAAATTGACCAAAATAATGTACTGCAGTATTATACACCTTGAAAAGGTCTACAAAAAAGTCCGCGATGTATATGTCTATCTCTTACAGATAACCCACAATAACCATTTTTTACCCTTTACTTTTTTACGAAGCGATATTAAGCAATTCAGCATTAATCCTTATTCAATTAAGTACCTTAAATACATTATGCATTTAATATAGAGCAATAAGGCCCATTACAGCATGTTAATCGGTTGCGGCGGTACCCGCCGGGGGGCCGGCGGCGCGTGCCTATAAATAGCGCGTCGAATGCTGCGCTTCGTCCTATAACACTTTATGATTAGCAGCGATCGCATGCGTTTATATGTATATTTATTATCAGCATTGCACCCGTGCGGAGTCGGGGCGGGTTGCTAGTAACATATATTTCTATTTTACTAGTTCGAATCCTCGAAATTCATAAGTATCTACAAATAACTCATTTCTTGGTAGGATTATCATTCAGAACATTTTTTGAATATTGGTTTGTGTAAACCCTTGTGGATCGAAATGAAATTCCGGTTGGTTATATTTCTCATACAATCCAAATACTGATTGGTTCGGATGAGTTTCGTACACTCTCACATGAGTGGAGTCGTCCTTGAACCCAGTATTGATTGGTCCAGACACACAGCATCACTTTCCCCCGTTGCGTGCCCGGAGCCAGCGCCAGGCAACCCGCCGGATTACTCCTACACAAGAGCGTATCCAAGAGGAAATTAGGGGACGGATAATAATTACATAGAAAGTCAATTACCAGCGATTGCTAAAAACCCAGGACGCACTAGAACATTTTTGGATGAAAAAATTTAAAATGTATTTTATTACAATGATAACTTCATTACGAAGTATAAACGAAAAAAACTAAAGTCCAAATCGTTTCGATAACAAGAGCATGATGCCGCCGATTGGAACTTGAGGTACACTTTCCGAAACATCCAAATTTTCCCATTTCGAAGGAAAATCGAAGTTTCAAAAATGACTGTGACGTCACTGCCATTGAGACCTACCCTCCCTTCAGAACCGTGTTCCAAAATGTATATGATTTTTGTAAAGCAAAAACAGTACATGCATGGATATACGAACATGATTATT